ATGCTGGATTTGCGTACACAAATCCGATTTGTCTTGCAGTAAGGCAGCGCAGCCAGATCTTCGGCCTAGGTAGGGGCGTTTGGGTCTAGTTGCTTAGCATTACAAACGGCTGTCCCCTAGGCGCAACAGCATGCCAAAGCGCTTCCATAATGGCGCGGAAGCCTCTACACTTGCCTTCTTGCAAGACAGACGTGATTTGTGGTCTCAAATCAGCAACACAAATTTTCGGAAACATACCTTTTCGATATGGGGAGGGGGGATTTTTCCTTACAATATCAGCTTCTGTGTGTTCAGCTCGTGCTCTCGGGCTGCATCATCCTCCTGTTGTATGTGAAAATTTTGTATTGCACTTCGCACTTCAAGGCACCGCAGAAAAGAATAAATGTTTGACAACTACGAAGCGCGCTGGCCAAAGCGCGACAAATACAGTATTTTTCAAGAGCAGCGAAACAAAAGAAGGCACTCATATTAGTACAATCGCGTTCATTTTTTGGTGTGTCATCTTCTTCTGGCCAAACCCCTGGTAGTCGGTCTGGTATGTTGGGATGCCCTTCACGACGACGTAAGGGTAGGTGCCGATGTTTGGGTTCCCGCCCATGTCTATCCTGTGCAAAAGTATCGCACTCGTAGTAATTGCAATCATGCATTACATACAAATCTTCATCCCAAGGCAAAGCAGCATGACAAATCCCATTTGTCATGCTGGGCTAATTTGTATTGCAATTACTACTAGTACGATACTTTTGCAGTTCCTAATGTCCATCGGAATTCCTTCCTGCTCCTCGTCCATTGTCGGATCCATTTTTTCAACAAAAGTGCAGGTTCTAGTAGAAAAAAAAAATCAGTTCCCTGGTACTGGTATGAAAATTTATTTTTCAAACATCAAACGTATTGTTTACGTTAATCTCGAGCTATAGTCGTCCTGGAAAAACGACAAGCAGGTGGCGAGTTGCTGTGCGGCATTGTGAATACATATCCGCTTGTTCCCTTCTTCTTCCCTTCTTCTGTCACTCATCCTATTTCACCGTTGCGCATACAAGTATTTCTATTTGCATTTTCAAAGCCCCCTAGCAGTAATTAAAATTTGTTCAATTATCGATCCCCGAGACGACCCACGAAGACACCAATGGTGACGAAATACTGTGAGATTTATGTAGCTTGAAACGACCGCAAGGGAGTTGTATTGACCTAATAGAAAGGCGACAATTCTACGTATATTGATAAATCACTTACGACATCAGGGAGGAGACTTCCTGGTAGTACCAACGACCGAGCATCTAACGCCAAATTCTGTCTTTTTCTTTTCCTTTACTTCCCGTTCACTCGTTTGCTGACGTCAATCGAACAACGATCAAGATTATGCCATTTTCTTTTACTTTTCAGTTCGTTTCGACAATGATGCTGGTAGTTCGTGCTCTTTTTCTACAAGCGAGGGAGGCGATGACAACATATTAGAAGTCCTCGGTGGAAGGTGGAGGTGCTTTGTGCTGTGATTTTTGTACAAACGACAATCCTATTCTACAATTTTTGTTTTTCACTATCTTATTTCTAGGAACTTCTACTATACGCCCCCTGCTACACGTTTTCCACCACTCTCGCAGCTTGAACCGCAAGCTTCCTACTCCTCTCCACCTCCTACTAACTTAGGTACTAAACACAGCGTAGCACTTTGCAATTTTTTCTGATCTAAGACTAAGTAAAAGCTATGGAACAGTAAACGCAAACGGGAGCGACTCAATTTTACGAAAAAGAACAAACAGTAGGATCAGCATCGCCCATGCTAATCAACTTTATTCTCGCGTCTAAGTAGCTCGTCTTTAGATTCTTTACCAGGCTTCCGTCCCGCGTGTCATGTATTTCACCTTCTTGACCTCCTGATTCGGCGCGACGGGCAAGTCCGGAATCACGGGTGCTTCGTCCAGCCGGAGACGCACGAGAAACAGCGTTTCCAGCGAAACTTCATTCACGCCGTCAACCCCGTCCCCCGCATCGTCATCCGCGAGCATCTCGGGCTTGCGCTCCGCGAGTTCCTTCGTGTAGCGGAGAAACAGCTGCGGCTTCTCCTCCTCGGTAAAGTCGCCGAGCCGCTTCAGCGCGCGGTGCATAAAAATGTTCATGTACCGCTCCACCACGTCTGGCATTTCCTTCTCCGTCGGATAGGAGATCGGATACGGTGGTGGAAACGGCATCGCCCCGACCTCGCTGCCCATCAGCTTCGCGGCGTACCGCGCTTGCCGCCACTTCTCCACCTGCTCCTCGTAGTCACGCCAATCGCGACGGTACTCCGCCAGACCGGTCAGGGACAGGTACCTGTTGAACTTGTAATGATGTGGTCCAGCGATAGTTTGATTACATTTCGGTCGTGCGAGTAAGTTAGTACTAGACTGATTCTTGTTGTCTCTTCACCTAGCTGTGTGTAAGATGGCCAGCGCGGTCGCTTTTTCCCCTTTGCTTGCGATGGCAAAACAGCCACCAGTCTAAACAAGCAATAAACCCCCAGGGGCAGGACAGTGAAACCATGTTGGGAGCAATCAATTTTCGATGATCAATCTTCACAGTATGGGATCATCCCATACTGTGAAGATTGATCATAGAAATTGAACATTGTCATCCCGGATGACAGGGTTAATAAATACAACATCGACAGGGAACTTGTTTGCTGAAAACAACAAGCTACTTGATTTCTTTTCACTACCTTCTCGCCCGCAGTTCCATGGTGATAAACAAAAATCGGTCCTTTTCCGGAATCAACAGTGCCCGCAGCTGCGCCTGACTGGGGGGACTGACCGCGCCGCCGTGCCGGTCGATGAACACGCGACGGTGGTGCCGCATTTCGAATTTGTTCGCCTTTTGCAGGTACAGCTTCAGTTTGGCTTTGATGTCGATCCGGCAGTCGCGCCAGAACCGCTGGATTAACCGGGTTTTCTTGTTGAACCCCTGGAACGCCAAGATCGTGTTCCAGTGCAGCATTTTACTCGCGAAGGTCTGCATGGTGGAGTACAGAATCCGGGCCTTCCGTATCCGCCGGTAGGTGCGCACGGCGTATCAAATGCAAAAATGTCTGGGTCTGGAAGATTGCAACTTGTCATGGTAAATCTGAAGCATGCAAAAATCTGTGTTGCATGAGTGCCAAGAGCTGTACACTTTTGACCAACTTAGAAGGGAGTTTCTCATGCAGGGTAGGCATGGCAGAGACCTCGCAGAGTCTGTCACGCTAAGTCCCGCATTCCAGACCTCATGGCTCATGGAAAATCTGCATGACAAGTCTACACTTTTCCAGACCCAGACATTTTTACATTTGATACGGCGATCCGCAGCGCCATCTTGAACCGCAGATACCGCAGCTTGTTCTTCTGCCGCACCGCCAGCTCTATCAAATGCAAATATGTCTGGGTCTGGAAGATTGGGAGGTTTGTCATGCTAGCTTGGCATGGCTCAGCTCTGTTGTATTGCACGGCCGCAATGAGCTGCTCCTCTTGCCTGTCATGCAAAAACGCAGTTTCTCATGCGCAGGACGCAACTCAGAACCAAGGAAAAACTTGTCATGCGTGGCAGCGCATTGCAGTGCGCTCCCTGAGGTTCCCTTCCTTGCATCACAAGTTTCCAGACCCAGACTACATATCTGCATTTGATAAGGTCCGCCGCACTGTGCTTCTCCTCGTCTGTCGAGGATTCTCCGGGCGGGCGCATATTGTGAGGAAAAGTCCCCCCTCCCCATATCGAAGAGGAAGTTTGTGCTGCTGGACTCGCGTACACAAGTCGTAGTTTGTATTGCTAGAAGGCCAAGCGACGCAGATGCCGCCTCGTTTTCAGGCAACTTGTTATCCTGCTTCGTGCTTGTAGTTGCAGCTTCCTGTCATGCTGAAGACGCAAGGCTTTCCCGCCCTGCCAGTAGGTACTTCTAGAGTTGTCCGCATCTCTACTTCCCTTCTAGCATGACAACGCGATTTGTGATAACAAATCATGCTACACAAATGTCCGTTTGCGGACGAGGGGGGATTTTTCATCTTGATAGCGCAGTCCCTGCCCCCCGAGCGCGTCCGGGTCCTCCTCCAGCAGCCGCTGCCGCCGCTTCTCCTTCATGGTGGACCGGAACTGCGTGAGAAAGGTTTCGTTCTCCGAGTTCTGGAGGATCTCGTCGCAATTCTGCGTGAATTTGTACAACACCACCCCAACCAGGATCCGGCGCAGCATTTCGTCCGCGGACTCGTCCGGGGAGAGACCCTGCAGTTCCCATGCGTCCACGTCCAACGTGCGCATCAAGTGGGTGCTGCCGAGGATCTATCAACTGCAAATATGTCTGAGTCTGGAAGGATGCAAGGTTTGTCATGCTTGTTTGGCATAACTGAAGAGTTTGTGGTGCGTGTCCAAGAAGAAGAAGCGACCCTGTCATGCGGAAAGTGCAACACTTACACTAAGCAGCGCAAATATGTCTCATGCTTGACTTTGCATTACAGATAATTCCCTATTCACAACTCAGCAATACAAGTTTCCGAACCCAGACATATTTGCATTTGATAGGATCGGGTAGTGCATTTGCTTTTTCCGCAGCGAGTACAGGGTATCCAGCCGGAACTGCCGGTGCTTCTGCCGCTTCTATGCAATACAAATTCCCCGTACATGTCTGTACAAGATGCATCACAAATTTATTCACCAATTTGGAGTGTAAGAACACTTGCCATGCTACACTAGGATCGACGAAGCCCAGTTTTGTCATGCAGAAACCGCATTTGTACGTCGTGTACGGGAATTTTACTGTGGATAACTTCCACTTTGTCCGCACCTTGATTTTTTCCTCCCACAGTTGGCCCTGCTCCAAGTATTTCGTCACCCGGTTCTCCTTTTTGTAGCTGAGAATCACGTCCGGCTATTGCAGTGAAAAGTGACCCCCACTCCTAAAATTGCAAAAATTTGTGATGCGAAGTTTCCAAATGAAATTTTTTTGTCATGCATGAAAGGAGTACGATTCTTTCTGATGCAGAGTCTAGGCGTGTATCGCATCGCTTGCATGACAAGCGCCGCTCTTGCTGGAGTCTCTGGCGATACAAAGTTTTGCTATTCACGATTGGAAACCTGTGATGCTGATAGATGCAAGACGGCGAACGTTTCATTTGGAAAGGTTTGCAATACAAATTCTCCCAAGTTCGGGGGTGGGGGCATTTTTCATTGCAATACCGGCTTCGTGTTCTTCAGAACGGCGTTGCTCCGCGGGGACTTCTCCTTCGCCTTCAAATACTGCGAGGGGCAGAGAAAGTTCTCCTTCATGGGGGCGAGTTTTGGTTCCAACGCCTTATGGAATCGGAAGTACTCCAGCCGCTCCCGCATGCTGCCAAACTGACCGCGGAGGTTCAGAAACTCCTGCGATTTCGAGATCGCGCCGTGGCCGGCATCGCCGCCTTTGTGGTCGGGGCTCCCGCCGTGGTGGTCTTGGTGGTCGTCGTGGCCGAGCAACCGCTCCGTGGTGTTTGCAATCCATTTCACGTTGCTGTCGTGTTTATTTGTCTATGTATACAGTGAGGATGCTGGTGCAACACGATCCAACGTCTGATCAAAAAAGGATAAAACAGAGCAGCCATGCTTTTACGTTGACAAGAACAGCAAAACTTCTATACGTAGATCTGATAGCAGCCACACAATTATACTTCTCAAACTGGTTTTTCAGGCTGGCGATTTCCAACCGGTGTGCTTCTTGCGGCGACCCCCCTTGCGCGCCTCCCCGCTTTCCGGGTCTCGTGCCGTGTCGAGACTGCGGCAGCCCGGCTATGAAGCCGGAGTTTTCCGAGGTCCAGTGCGAATGGGTGGAACTGGACCTTTGGTGTCGTCTTTTACCCCCGGTCGTGGTCGTTAGCTCCATCGAGGACAGCGTGGGCAGTCGGAACCCGGTGGAATCGGTGTGGAAGGAGGTGGCGATCCGGGTGGTTCGCGGACTCAGGCTTAAGCTTGGTAAGGTGGACCCCGCCGAAAATCGGCTGGTTGTATGCTGGCCTTCCATGGTCGAAGAACTCCTCAAATGCGTCTCGTCGAATACACTGGTGCTGCTCCAGGATTTTTGCATCTGCTGCTGCGGTGAGTGAAACGAGGATCCAGCTGCTCCCCGGACCGGAGCCGGGCCGCCGGTCACACTCAGGGAAGAGGAAACCATTTCTGAGAGCAGTGGGGTCTATTTTTCAACTAGTAAAGTATTGATGTTGCCCCGCCTTTAATAGTATGGGGGAAGTATCTTTTTTAGCACAACGACGACGACGACGACGACGACGATGTTGTGGCGCGCATGTTTAGCTACACCAACATGACACGACGAGGAAAACAAAGAAGTTCCGATTTTTGCACATGCTAGGCGATAGAATTTCTCTCGGCGAGAAGCGATGGCGATGAAAGACGACAGGAAACGAAACGACTGCGCCACCCTACAGCGTTGATTACACACGGAGCGAAGCAATTGAGACAACGACAACAAAAACGAATCGGAAACACGATCTGGGGGCAATGGTGTACTCAAGCACGAAACTGCACGAGTTACACTCGAATCGCAGATCGAACCAGCAGAGCAGCAACACTGTGCTGGAAGTCGGAGTGAGTCTTTTCAATTTTGAATTTTCATCAATTCATTTGAAACGTCGTCGAAGTAAGATCGATCGCTATTATATCTTTCCGTACTACATTATGCAAGCTTTCGAGGAGTCAGCATGTAGGATACTTTCAGAATTAGAACTGCGAGCAGCCGAGTGTACTCTTATTCAACATCACTCTTGCAACAATACCACCCGCAACCTCTCCCCCTGGTGCTCGAACAGGTCCACCACCGGGTAGAGATGCGGCGACTTGCGAATTTTGGCCTGCCACACGCCCCGCCGCACCCCGTTGACCCAGAGCTCCAGATCCCCGGACTCCTTGTAGATCCGGCACTCGAGCACGTCCCCCTGCCGTAGAAAGCCTGCGTTCCACGAGGGCGAGCGCAGCCGTACGCCCGGGTGGGAGCCAACGAGCAAGCCGGTGGCTTCCACGATCCAGCAGCCGAGTAGGTCCTCCGCAAACCGAATTTTTGTCCTTTGCTCCTGGGGTGCGACCTGCGTGACGCCGATGTCCAGGCGGCACCCGTCTGACCAGTGCTCCAGGAACAACCGGAACCGGCGGAACTCCGCGAAGGCGACTTGAAAAGGTTTTACTTTCCGAGTTTTGGTAGTGGCCCCTTGATGATCCGAGTGTGATGACGCGAGCGCGGCCTCCTCTCCTGCTTCGTTTGCACCAGCTACTGCCCAATTTGTTCCGTACCGCACTTCCGCCTGCAGGCGGCGCCGAAGGCACTGCGCACCGACGAGCACACCGAAGCCCTTGGAGCTTTCCGGCGTCCGCAGCGCCGTGCACCGGCGGGGCGACGGCACGTCGACGCTTTGCTCGTGATTCTTAAAATCGTACCAGGAGCCCGTGAGGAGCGGCAGCTGATTCCGCAGCTCGATGGGCAGAAGGAGTCGCGCGCGCTGGTCCGGTTGCTCCGAGGCGGCCATCATTTTCTGAAACAAAAGACTCGAAAAGGTCGTGGTCTGCTGCTCCGGCTGTTCAGTGTGTTTCATCTCAGACACTGCTGGCGTTCCTTCCCCGGTGTTCAAAGACGGCGCGCCGACGTGCAGAAGAATATTACCGGTCGAACTTGTAGTAGGTGCTTGTTGTTGAAGATGATTTGTATGAGCGGGTGTCCTCGAAGCTGAACTACCATGTTGTGGTGTGCCAGCCGCGTCGTCCATTGCCTGCATTTCGCAACTGTGCACTGTTAGCACTCGCGCAGTGAGTGGCGGCCGGTCGGAGGGGATTCTCTGTCTTTCCTGTTGCGCATTATGTGACAAAAAATCCCCTGCTGTCAAAAAGCTACCGCCAGCCACAGTAGAAGAGCCGCGTCCGGATAAATTTCCAAGTTCGAGCGACATAAGCCCACTTGTGTCGTACGCGAGAGTGGAGGCGTCGATGCACAGATAATCCAACACTACGTGGTCAAAAACCTCTTGGAGCTTGGGAAAACTCAACTGAGTCTTCGTAAAGCTAGTGTCCAACCCGCTCCCAAAGGTGCTCGCGAAGTCGTCTCTTTCCAGCATTTGCTCTGCGTCGGACATAACGTCGCCCTCCAAATACAGCGAGCTCCTTCTCCGCGGGCGCCGCGACGCAGTTTTTTCTAGAGAAGTAGTCTGGTCCTTCGGATTACTCTGCGCGTTCAAGCGGTGTTCAAAAATCTGTCGTAGAGCGTGGAGCTCGAACACTAACTCGTTGTCGCGATAACTACTTGAAAGATTACTTTCAGCACCAGCAGGAGCACCGTTGGGGTACTGACGATCATCTCCCGCACGAGGACCCGTTACACCACTTTCATCCGAGAGAGGTTCATCTTTGTCATCTTCTTGCAAAAGCAAGTGCGACAGCTGCCCTCCTCTTCTTCCCCCGCCGGGCAGCAGCAGATTGCTAGGCGAAGGCGGTCGACTGTTATCTTCCAGATACACACTGCTGTCCCACTGGAAGATACTTTCGTTATTCGTCAAATTATCTTTGTAGTGCCCGAGAGGTGGTAGCTGCACTGGCGTAGGTCTAGAAGTTGTGCTTGTTCCAGGCAGTAGCGCGGGGCCAACATGTTGATGCTGCAATTGCGCACTCGTCCCGCTGGTGATTGTCTGCCTTGTAGTGGTGCCGGGCAGCTCAGCAGTGTTGGACGCTGACGTTTCGGTGCGAATCATTATATCTACAGAAGTCATTATTTTCGACGGTTGCTGTTGCGGAGGATCAGGATGGTCGTCGGTTCCTAAAATAGCAGCACCCGGCGCACGGTCTTCAACACCAGCAGTAGTAGAAGCCAGAGCCACAGCTGAAGATGCTTCTCCCATTGCAGCCGCTGCAAGTTGTTGTTCTTTCTCCTGTAGTTTTCTGCGCTTCGCTCTTGCGGCTCTGCGCGCGGCTTTCACGCGCGTGAGTGGCACTACCTCTTTCCGCTCGAACCCGCGCAACAGGATATCCTCGCTTTCGGCCGCGAGGCGGTCCGGTAGGCGAATGCTTTTGGCGCTGGCCCACACCGCGGCCAAGTGGCAGATCGGGGGCCAAATCCCCACAATATCCCGCTTCGCCAGCTGCACATGGTGGCCCTCCCAGGCGACCGGTGAGTTCAGCAACTTGCGCCACTTCCGACACACGCACGATAGCTTGCCCCACCCGCGCGGCCACTCCACCGCGAAATTCAGAATGGGCTCCCACAGATCGAACACGTCCAGAACCGATTTGGGTTCTTGGTCTTCGTCTTCGTCATTCTCTACTCCCACGAACGCGGGGGCCGGGGCCGGGGGCATGTTGATTTGTACCACGGCTCCGTGTTCCCCTGTGGTTGCCACCCCCTCAGAAGACGATGAAGTAGAAGAAGAAAAGAGTGGTACAACGGGTATTTGGAGGTCCACGTCGACCGCAGGGGCAGAATCTACTACTTTCACGATCCCGGGAGGTGCTACGAAGTTCTGCTCTCCCTTTCCCGCCCGTCCCGGCGGAGAAAAGTGCTGCAGCAAAGCGCCACTGGTCGGCGTCTCGTCCTGCTCGGGTTCGTGTTTGGTATTTGTTGTACTATCAGGAAGCTGCACATGATCCAAAACGACGGGGGACTCTGCTCCAGCGAGTGCGAGCGGTTTTTCTTTCACTGGACTCGACGTCGCGACGTGCGGCTCCGGCTGCTGCTCCGCGGTGTGGTCATTTTCTTGTTTACTCTCTCGCACGCTGCTCGCGAGTAGCACCCCACGGACGGAGGGCTCCTCGTTCAAAAGTAAGTGCAAGCACCGCTTCAACCGCTTGGCCACCCGCACCTTGCTGCTCGAGTGCAGATTTGCGCTTCTCTGCAGGTTTTGAACGAGGACCGAGATACCCCGGAAGTCCAACTGTTCCAGTTTCACGTGCGCCTCGTGGAGATCCATCCTGTGTTGAGAAACTGTAATGAAGTGTGAAACTCTGCAGATCCAATCGCGCCACGACGGACAAGGATGAAGAGAAGATCGATGATAAATCCTTATCAGCGTCGCCTTTGCGATGAGTGGAAAGAACCCGACAATACGCACACGAATGGCAGCACCAATATGCCACAACCTGAGTCAGGGACCACACCAGTAGAAAACAAGAAGTGCAACGTGACGTGAACCGATTCCGGCGAACCAGTACACGAGCGGGGAATTTTGAGTTCGCCGATAATATCCACTTGCAAGATGAATCGGTTTCTTTGATTGCACTACTGCGAGAAGTAGAGAATAGAGTCGGGAAGAGCTTTTACAGGTGCGTTTTGCATGTTCCTTTATTCTCGTTGTCGTTTTTCAACATAATTATAATTCGACTCATTTCATGTACCGTAGTAGCCACTACGATTTCGTTCATTTGAGCATGCAGTACAACCTAGACACACGCACCACTTTCTGGCTATTGTCAATAACCGAAACGTTTGTAGAAACTACATCAAGATCAAATATGAATATCTTCTGAGGAATCAACCATCTACGTAAGTACAACGCGCTTTGTCTTTTCTTCTTTTCCCGGAATCAATTGCTCCGTGAATCTTCTTTCCAATCTTCGCCTCCCCCGATGAAAGGTGTTGGTGAACGAGTGACAGTTCTCCTCAAAAACGGGCAGCACGTTCTTCCCTGGACCAAGATGGTCGGCGCAATCTTTGCTCCCACTTCCACCCCCCGTCTGCGCAAGCGACTGGCGCACCTTCCTCCACATCTCGCGCGGCTGTGCCAGCTCTAATGTGTTCGCAAATACGGTTTTAAGCAGACAAATGGCCGCGCCGGTTGTAGTTTCCGGCACAATGGATCGCAGGGCGGTGGAGCCGGCGCGGACAGAGATGTTGTGTAAGACCCGAAACCGTCGTGTAAAAGCCGAAATTCCACCAGTATGAAGATCAACATCTTGGGCCTCTTCATCTCCGGAACAAGTCTCTGTTGCTCGTCCAGAACAGTGGTGGTGGTGCGGATTTATCTGTGATATTAAATTACACGAGGACTGCTCCTGCTTTCTCCGCTGCTCTTCCCTCCACTGATCCCACTTGTGCCTCCACCGGGTGTACGGCCCGTAGTAGAAAGTCGCAATCATGTCCAGGAAAAAGGTCGACGCCGTTTGGGACATGTCGGACCGCGGCAGCTTTGCGTGGAGCATGCACTTCGGAATTATCGTGGCCGACGGGGGCGATGATGTTGTTGTGCTTCCAGGAAAATGACCATACGGGGAGTTGTTGTAGTTACCACCGACCGTGCGCACCGGGCTGGAAAGAAACGCGGTCAAGAAGTCCGCCTGTTCCGCCGTCACAAAAGCCTTCCCCCGGAACAAGTTCCAGTTCAGGTGCGGCACCTTCCAGCCGCGTAGGAGCTGCTCCGGGTAGGAGGTGAGCAGAAAGCGCTGGGCAAACGGGTCGGAGTTCACTACCTCCGGGTTGTTTTGCTGATGTGGTGGTTCGTTGTGGTTGCTGTGGAAAAGATAATTGTACTTTTTACTGTTGTACAATCCACTACTGGTGGTCGAGGTACTACTAGTACTTCGTGCCCTGGCCTTCTCCTCGCTTGTAGTCCTTCCCTCCTCGTCGAAAAGGTATGTATCCACCTCACGGACTTCCGAAATAGTGATGGCGTTGTCCGCTTTCCGACAAAGCGTCAGTTTGTCCCGCTCCACTTCGGCCTGGCAGGACGCGAAGCAGGTCCTGAACCGCTGCAACAGATCCTGCTCCTGCTCGAGCTTTTTGAGCTGCTCTTCCTTTTGCAACAGTTCCTCCAGCCGCGCCATCTCTTGCTCCACCACGGTCTTCTGCGCCTGCAGTGCGGCGGCGAGAAAGGAACGGGAATTTTGGTTCACCGCGTTGATGTTCGGGGGGAAGGACAATGAGGTGGCGTTCTGGATTGGATGAGTAGTTGTATGATCACTTGCGGCGTCCGCAGATAACGAAAAGGTTGGAGGTCGTGTTTTATCGAGAGACGCTTGATGCGCGCCTTCTCCTGTTTCGGAAGAACTTGAACTTCTCGAAGTAGATACGGAAGCGGTTGTCGCCAGCACTCCATCAACGCTAGTCGCTGTATGCTGCCGAAAGTTCGACGGTATTGCAGTCCCGAGAGCCGGAAGAAACACTGCGGCACGGGGACCGAGTTGCAATGCCGGACTTGTTGGGTGTTTACTTCTCGGAGCAGTCGAGTCTGAACCAGTAGAGGTAAACGATGTTGAACAACTACCCGCATGCGCATGAGTAGAGCCACTACAAGTCGAGCCACCTGAGGGTAGTTCCGCGTCCGCGGCTCTCGCCTTTTCCCGGGCGTGCAGCTGCAACAAGAGGGACCGATACTTCTCGTCCACTGCCCCGTCGTGAAAAACCGTGCGCTCTCCCGACAAGTTGCACTTGTCCCGGCGGCAGGTCGCCTCGGCCGCGTGCAAGGTGCGCTGGCATCGCCGATATGCATTGCAAATCTGTCTGGGTCTGGAAAGTTGGAACTTGTAATGCTGGCCGCCTAACGGATTCCTGTGAAGTCTGTTTGTATTGCATGACCGACAAAAGTCGTAGTGGTAGTCTCTTTTGTTTTATACAAAAACGCAGCTTCTCATGAGGAGTGCGTATGAAGGTCGCGCCCGGAGGGCGATATTGGTAACCAAAAGCGTGCGCGAAATTCTAACCAGCGCGAAAGCCTAACCAGCCGCGCGGCGAAAGCGCGGCCCCGCGGGCCGCGCTTTGGCGCTATTTATTTTTGATTACAGTCCCACTCCTTCTTCTTCAAGCCCCCTGCATGAGAAACTGGCCCCCTGGCCAGGAAGATATCTGGGTCATCGGGGGCTTCCGGATTCGCATTCAAAGCTTATCGCAGGAGCCTGCGGGCCGCCGCGGGCGACAGTAGTTGTCCGCGGCCCTTTAGGGCCGCGGGGAAGTGGTGGAGCGAAATCCGGTCTGCTATTTCGCAGCGGGGCATCCTCTCTAGCCCCCTGCATGACAAACTGGCCCCCTGGCCAGGAAGGTATGCGGAAAGCCGAAAACCCGCGAACCCTTCCGGGCAACCAAAATCGGCCACTTCAGACGCGGTGGAGGTCCCGAATTGGTGCTCACAACCCCGGCCAAATCGGAACTTTGGGACATGCCTCCGCCCGCTTCTAGTCCGACTTTTTTTTCCCAATCGCGATGGTATGGCGCAAGCGCGCGCCCACCGGACCGCCCTTGGCGGCCAGTTTGTAAGCCTGCCGAGGGTTTTCGATTTTTTGCGATTTTCGCTTTTTTTTCAGGTTTTTAGGTGTCCGAAGGGCTCCGGACATTTTCACCGACCGCAGCTGACTGGCAGTTTTGAAGCCTGCGGAGGGATTGCGCTTTTGCGCAATTTTCCGTCTTTTTCTATTTTCCAAGTGGCCCGGGCGACCTGGACATTTTCACCGACCGCAGCTGACTGGCAGTTTTGAAGCCTGCGGAGGGATTACGCTTTTGCGCAATTTTCCGTCTTTTTCTATTTTCCAAGTGGCCCGGGCGACCTGGACATTTTCACCGCCCGCATCTGACTGGCAGTTTTGAAGCCTGCGGAGGGATTACGCTTTTGGGCAATTTTTCGTCTTTTTCTATTTTTCAAGTGGCCCGGGTGGTCTGGACAAAATCCGACGATTGCTTCCACCCACGTTATGAAGCAATTTTTTGCCATTTTTTTCAAACTTTTTTCAGTTACGAAGCGGCCCAAGACTTCCGAACAGGTCGCGGGCCTGCTTCTCCAACGCAGCTGGCCAGCGGGCGGAGCAAAAAATAGTCCGTCTCTTTTTCAGCTATCAAGTGGGCCAAACCGCAAAAATGCTGTTTTTTCACCTTCTCCCGCTTGGTTTCTGCCGTTTTTGCGACATTTTTGACCTCCTGGACATTTTCACATCTGGTCCGCTTTTTTTCCCTTCTCCCGCTTCATTTCCGGCCATTTCCCTGACCTTCACGCCTCCCGGCGGTTGCCCTATATGGTAACGGCAACTGCCTTCGCGCTGCGTTTGCTAAGCAATATCGCAAGCGCGCAGAGCGCGCGCGCCGGCTTCGTGGGCCGGCGCGCGCTCTGCGCGCGCGCGCGCACGCATTTGGTTACCAGATGAGAAAGCGTTCTCTTCTGCCAACTTGTCATGCTTTCGTGCATAAGAAAGTGTTTTCAGCATGCACATTTTAGCATTACAACTTTCCGGACCCAGACATATTTGCATTGGATAGCCGACTCTTCGGCGCGACGACGCCGTCCGGGGCTTGCAAACTGCACGCGTCCGTCTCACTGTCGTAGTAAAAACCCAGCGTGAGAACGCATTTCGTCTTTACTGCAGCAACTCTACTAGTAGCTCTACGAGCAGCAAGCCCGGGATTTGATGTTTCTCGGTTTTCTCCTTGGCGCGAAAGTGGTCGTTGGTCTGACCGAAGATGCTCCGCACCGGGGAGCGAAGCAGAGAACCCTGCTTGGGCTTCGGGTCGAGGAAACGACTCGTAGAAATTGTTGTGATCCTCCTCATTACGCAGTCGGTCGTGATGATCCTGGTCAGTTGGAATATCATCGCTCCCTTCCTCTTCCTCCTCCTCCGACGAACTCCCGCCGCCGATAGAAATTGCCTCTTGCTCTAGGTCATGGAGTTCGAGATACCGGTGGCCACCTAAACCTGCGAACAGGAGCAATCTACGCGTCCGGTCACTGTATCTGTCCGCCTCGTAGTACAGCGTTCGCACTTCGTAGCGCGTAGACTGCGGCACGACCTGAATCGGGCGACTCGGATCGCACAGGCGGACTTTAATTTTCGGGTCACTGGTGGTGGTCTCCTGCGCAGCAGGAGTTGTAGTAGCGGAAGCAGCAGCTCCTGCTGCATTCCTGCTAGTACTGCCAGGCTTCGTTCCGTCAACTGTCGTCCGCAAAGTCAATCCGCTCGTCCCTAGTTGAAGAAGCGCTCCCACGAGAAGAACACGGAAGCAGGACCGGGGGAATGCGCAGGAAAGAGTCGGGGTCCGGCCGTCACGAAGTCTCATTGTATTAACCAACCTGTCAGCAATAGAACTTGTCCTAGGAGCGCACAAAATGACTTGAAGGAGGCAGCACAAAGGTGATTTGTGCAGTATTGCTGCGCCACATCTCTACGAGAGCCTAGTTAGTAGGAGGAATCTGGAGATCATACATCGATTTTTAACTGTGCTCTGATGCTGAACCTTCGGAGATGATCCTCGTCTTTCTCATGCGTCTACAAACGCTTCGCGGATCTGAATCGGATCCGGGTCTCTGCATCTTGTAGTTGTTGCCTCACGAAAGAACGCTGGCATGATACTTTTATATATCGTTTCATCATGCTCCTCGTCGTCCACACAATGATCATGATCAAAAGGAGCAGCTGCATAAGTACTCAGAATCCACCCTTAGCGTCGAGGCACAACCGCCACCACGAACAATCTACAACCCGGACAGCAGGACGAGCCAGCTCTCCCTTGACTTTTGTCAATTTTTCGTTCTGCTTGCTGATAGAAAATCGCGCACCGCGATTTTCTCGCAATTAATTTCAACCTTAGATTTCACTCACGCACGCATCGTGCCCAACAGGAGGTCTTCCCAAATTGTCTGGAAGAGGACTCCCGCAGGTCGCGAGCTGTTATTCTTAATTGATGCTTAATGGTTATAATTTTTCACCTGGACAAAATAAAACCGTGGATTTCAACAACAGTCAATTTTTGGTAAGAGGACATGTTGATAGGTTTTTGGTACAATGGGCTTGCTACAACCGGGGCGAAGAGTAGGTTGTACGTACTCAACATGATGAATGCAGGAACGACGTACATCAAGGCGCCTCTTCTGTTATAACACCTCGTCGAATAGTTGATACAATATGGTCCTCGTCGACAACGCCCCTACAATTCCCGGTTAAAAACATCAGTCCTCGGAATCCGGTCCCTTCATCTCCTCGGACTTGAAAAAGAGGTACTCTGCGAGGTAGTCCACCGGGTCCTCTGGCATGACGCGGCAGATTTCTATCAGCGCTTCTGTCACGTGGGGCGTCACGTACTCGGCCAGGTACTTGCGGAGCGGCTCCGACCTGTTTTTTGTATTTAGAAGGAGCAAATAGCATCGTCGTCGTCTCTGGGAAGTAGATCATGCAGTGTCTACTACAACTTCCGACGTGGTTTCTACTTCTACCATTGTGGGAATCTATTCTTACGCAGTTGATGAGAAGTTCTTTTATTTTGTGCGTTTCGTTTTACTACTGCGTAAAGTAGAGATGATAGAAAATGAAACAGTACACTTCCTCCAGCTGTGCTTCTTCTTCTCGCCTCAACTTGTCCTGGTACTTTCTCTCCGCCTCTGCTTTCTGGGCGGCAGCGCGAGCGGCCGCTTCTCGTTCCGCAATCTCCTCAGGGGATTCCTCGAGGGAAAGGCCCACCAGCCTGTGTTGAAGGGGGAAGGGACTTTTCTAGTTCTCTATCTCTTTTCCGTATTCGATGGCTCGTCGTGGAGAGACGGAAAAAAAAACAGACAAAGCGCCGTTTCTTTGTGTTTGTCAGTGTGTTTTTTCTACTTTTACAGAACTCGGAAAAAATTGAAAACAATCTATACTCGCCCTCCGACACGGGTGTCTCCACGGGTACTCGCGTGGTGTCCAAGGGTTGCAGGAAGTTTTTGAACGGTTTCCCCGTGGACTTCTCGAATGCGGCCTGAAAAAACTTGACGAATGCGTTCCCCTTGACGACCGACAGCATGTGCTCCCGCTTGACGCGGCGGTCCTCCTTGCGCGCCTCGGCCTCGAGCCTTTTCTTCTCCTGCAGCGCCAGTTCCTCCTCCGTGGGCTCCGGCGCCGCCTCCTCGGTCGGACTGGCGTTGGGGGATTCCGTGTCAAAGTGAAAAAACCTGCCCCTACTCCATAAAAAAAAAATCTGTATGCTGAGCTTCTGTAAACGACAAAGCGGTGTATTGCAGCAAGCGCTCGGATGATGCATTTTCTATCCCTGGCTGGGTAACCAAAACACTAGCAGTTCAAAAAGGGAGACAGCTTTGCGCTATGTAGCAGAAGCGCGTCACAGATTGGCGGCGGAATGCGCCAAATAAGCTCACACTTTCCGACGACCCATATGCAAAACCGAGGTGATTTGTGGTCACGAATCAGCATCACAAATAACTTCCATTTTGAGTATTTGGGTCGGGTGCGTTTTTTCCTCACGATACTCCGCCGGCTCCTCCTCTGGCGGGTTCCGGAAGTCCATCTCCTCCTTGCCCCAAATCGCGAACTCCTCGTAGAACGCGTTCAAATCGCACTCACAGAGCCGGTTGTGCGTCTGGAAAAAGTCCCGCACGCTGGTGAGCTTCACAAAGTCCTCTGGCAACGGGTTTTCCTCCGTGGCCGCGTCTATCACGTCCGTTTGCTGCGTCTTTTGCTCCTGTATTCGGGTGAGCAGGCTGCTTTCCCGCGTTTCCAGCTTCGCGGTGAGCTGCGCCGCCTCGAGCTGTTCCTCGCTCAGCAGCTCGGGCTATCCGAGTGCACAACTTCCCCTCCTCCCTCGTTTGTATGTCGCAATGTTGAACAGCAATACAAACACCAGCACCGGTGGAGCCTGTGCATGACAAGTTTTTCCTCATGCGTCGAGCAAAGTACTGCTTGGAATTATAAATTGCGAAATTTGTCGTGCACAATAGTGTCACAAGGCAGCAGCTACACTCGAAATTTCGCATGAAAAATCATGGAAACGTGAACGAGGGGGAGTTGTAGTTGTCCACAACTCTCATACACACTCCAAACTCCGGTGCGCCTCGTCCGCGGAAAAGAGGAAAAGCACGTCCGGACAGCCGGGCAGCAAAAATCGCTCGTAGGTGCCCTGGGGCTCCTCCGGCTCCTTGGCCGCCTCGCCCGCACCGTCCTCGCCCGCCTGCTCGGCGTTGGGCGCCTCGGAGTTGGGTGCCTCCGACGCCGTGGCCGTTTTCTCGGGCGACTGGCTGTTCAGCGTCCGCCGGCTGGCCCCGGTGCCGGGGCGGCTACTCCGCCCGCTGCTGGTCTTGGTGTCGGGTATCACGGGCGGGATGTACCGCAGCTCTGAAAACAGCTCCGCCGCCTCTTCCCCGGTCACCGGCCAGCTGTCCAGCACGAACCCCTTGGTCATACACCTGCACATTGCGAACTTCTGCTGGAAGAGGCCACGTACCGTCTCCAGCAAGTCCGCTGGGATGCTGTTTTCCACGGCGTCGCCGAACCCCCCCGCCCATTCCTGCGCCTTCTGCGCGGTCTCGCTCAGGGCCGGCTCTGGCACGGGTTCATACTCCTCGAACGCCTCCGTGCCCTCCTCCGGCGCCGGATTCGCCAGCATGTAGGCCTCGTGTTCCTTTAGTCGCAACCAGAGTTGCCTCTCCTCGCGCTCCAGATACTCCGTGACGATGCCTGGATGTAGTTGGGATTTGATGTTGCGGAAAAATCTTGCGTTGGTTGTTCTATCCCTCTTACTCCCACGACGCTAAAGTAGCAAAGAAAAAACTGGAGCCTCTGCAGGTCCACGACCGGAGACAAACTTCCTTACTACAAAAACAGCCCACCTCTGCTAATGCCGAAAAATCAGTAGAAAATAAAGATGAAATTTTTACCAAAAGAACTTCCTACCTTTCACGGTGAGCACTTCGACGCCGAAGTAGGCGGCGATCTGTGGCAGGTACTGTTGGTACGTTCCCGGCGCGCCGGCCAGCACGACGCGCAAAGGCGTAAGCCCGCGCCAGAGCGCGTACTCCTGCGCCAACGTGTCTTTCGAATTTGTGAGCATCCCCTGCTCTCCGCCCCAGTTGGCGAACTGATACATCTCCGCGGACGGTCGGAAACGCAAGTTCATGGTCAGCAAATCGGCGTTGTCCATCAGAATGGCCTGCTCTACGTGCACAGAGCCGTGCAGCACGTTCGACAGTGTGAAGTTGCGCGCTTCCTGGGAAGATCAGAGAATGATCGCGCGGCAAAGCATGTGGGAAGGGATGTTTCCTATGTTGTTCCTTCGCTGCAGCAGACGAGGAGAACAACAAACCAATTATTATCATGCAAGAAGAAGAGCACCGCATCTAGATCTACGAAAATTCCAAAAAGTCGGAAATTATACCTCACTAATGGGATCGCCACCCTCCGGCACTGCGGCGTCTTGGTCTTTTGCTTTACTCAATCGTGGGTCCTCCTCTTCAAACGCTAATCTCACCGCCTCTAGAAGCTGTCTCTGCGTCGACGGCTGCTGGTCGCAGGCAACGTAGTAACTTTGCCTCGCGTCGACGGGCGCGAAAGTGGCGTACCGGGTGAACCTGCAACAAAAATGGGAGATATTTCTATCTATCAATATTTTTGTTGGTTGCATCAGAGATCATTATCGCCGTCGAAAAAATCTATTCAGGTATATTGGTTGCACGAGACGAAGAGAATCATTGTTGCAGACCGATTTTTTCTGAATCAAAGTTTACTGAACTATTCAAATGTATAGATACCTTGCCAGGTTTCTGCAATGGACAACGGGTAGATAGTTTGTCCCGTCGCCAATCATAGTGTTCTTTTCGAACATGCTGTTCCAGCAATGTGCAAACCAGTCCTGGAAAATGTATTCGCCGTTTCCGTAGGGGAGCCCGGCTCCGACCACTACGGATCGCACGTTTGTCTTTTTGCTCAACGCCGCCCAACTCAGCTCGAAAGACTTCCAGTCTGCGAACCTGGGCGTTGTTACATAATTGTGCATAGGAACAAATAACATGCAGAGTAGAAACATGCAGGTCATCTTCATGGCATGACGAGTATAGCAGAATCATCCATCTTGTCGAGTCGCCCCGATCCGCGCAACCGATTCAATTTCCATCCAAAGCAAAAGTACCTGACACTTGGAACCCTCGTCTCGTGCTCGGTGTCGGTTAAAATCCGGGGCTCCCGGTGGTTGAATCCCTCTTTCCATCTCTTGTTTATTGCCTGGTGATAATGAATGTCGACCTTCACAATGATCTTGATTAGAGTTAGAGAATCTGACTCAGCTTTGAAATTTCTCAGGATGGTGCAAACACAATCAAAAGCACCTAAAGATTCGCAAAAAAAAATGCAAGAATGCCAAAACAAAACACTACTGCTCTTACCGTCGCTGGCACCGTTCCCGGCCCGGACGCCGGTCCCTCGCAGGGCGTTCGCGCCCATGTCATCAAGGAGGAAACGAGGACCAAGCTTACGGGATGGCGGAAGTCAAACGCCGTGAAGGCGTTGAGAACAAATTCGAGCTCCTCCAAATCGGTTGCGTGGAGGTCGTACACAATCACGTCGTGCTGCAGCACGTTGGCCAAAAACTCACTCGGCGACGCTCGTGACAGTAACCGCTTCACGCAGGGGGGCACCTGGTGTAGAAGTACTTCGTGCGTACTGTTTCCCTTCGTGGTTTATGCTTATCAATGAATCCTATCCGGAACAATTCAACTTCTAGACAATTTTGAAAAAAAATTGACCGAGACGTCGCAGAGCAACATCACCTCAAGTACCTGTCCACATTTGTGGCCCCCCCGCAATGTCCCGGACAGAAACACATTGCCTTGGAGGCTAAGTTCGGAGCACACCGCGCCCGGAATGTACTCGCATCCTAAGCAAAAACGTCCCCACCCCAGAGTCAAGATGGGGATTTTGCAACACAAACCCCGGAGTTTTGGGAGTCATGCATGACAAGTTGCAGTCCGCAAGGTAGTGCAAGTTAGCAAGGAAAGCCGCATCACAATTCGATCTGCTGATCCTGTTTACAGCATTACAAGTTCCCGAATACGATTGAAAATGTAAATGCCTGTCATGGGGTTGCGCATCACAAATGTTTCTGTCATGGCAAATCTGCATGACAACTCTGGGGTGGGGACGTTTTTACACGAGATAACTCGTCTACGTTGTTCACAAAGCACCGCGTACCGTCAAACGACGGCCTGGCGCGCTCGCTCATCCTGCGAGCGGAACCGCGGCTGACGCCGGACTAGTACCGCAGAGGTGGCTAATCTCAATGCGTTTCAACTTTTCGTGGGTCCAGATTCAAGCGCTTCCATGGTCCCCAGCAATCGTCCTGCAGTCCCGGTAAAGCCCTAGGAAAGAACGAAGTTTGAGAGGCAGCCAAGTGATGCTCCACGACCGCGCTGCCATCAATTTTTTGCTTGTTTGCAGCTTTCGTTCTCACACTGAACAAGTACAACAAAATAAGAAGACGCTTTGATGTTCTCACGACGCAACAAACTTTCCCGTCGAAAGAAGAAAGATTGGTTCTTCTCTTAAATTCGACCTCTTAACCTCGCTCTTCTCACAGCAGCGCACAAATCATACATACACATAGGGCGCAAACCACATCTCTCGACGGCGAGACTCGTACGGAACCTACCAGCAACTGCGATTTTGCTGCTCACCCTCTGAATTTGGTCACACGATTGGGATTGCTTGAAAGCCAACCCCTATTTCTTTCCGCCGATAAAAAAACTTTCGATCCCGACAACTAAAACGATCACGACAGTAGTACTTACGCTTGTGCGGACGAATCACACGGAAATTGTTTCCCACAGCGTCTTTCGGAACATAATCCGTTTCGGTAATAAAATTGTGAAAATCGAACACCATTTACTTAGCGCACACAGAGCGCGTCCGAAAAACAGCACGACGCTGAAGAAGAAACAATCAAGCAGATCATGGAAGTATTCAATGCATTGACAAAAGATAAAAAGTGCTCCAGTGTACTTTGTTCTTCGTAAAAATAACTATCTCATGTTGGATATTCCGATCGGGCTCCTCGCGGCACGCATCCTGCTATCAAAAGGATAAATCCCCCCACCCCATATCGAAATGGAAATCTGTGATGCGGGATTTGTGTACACAAATCGGCTTTGTATTGCCGGAAGGCATCGCGGCCAGATCCCCAGGCTATGCAGGGGCGTATCGGTCTAGTTGTTCAGCATGGCAAACGGCTCCGCTTTAGGCCCAACAGCATGACAAATCGCCTCCATAATGGGGGCGAAGCTTTTGCCCTTGTCTTCTTGCAAGACAGACGTGATTTGTGACCTCAAATCAGCAACGCAAATTTTCGGAAACGTGCCTTTTCGATATGGGGAGGGGGGATTTTTCCTCACAATACCTGTTCATAGATCTCTCCCGGATTTTTTGCCGCAGCAGCTCCCGGTCCTTGTGTATGGGGTGCTATCGGTTGCAAATATGTCTGGGTCTGGAAGAGTGCAAGATTTGTCATGCATTAATTTCGCGGACTACAACGGAGATGGTGTGCAATGCTGCACACAGAAGCATCACAGATTTATTTGCGAAACCTTCCTCATGCCTATTCGGCATGAGAAGTCCGCCTTTTACTTTTTCCTAGCAAGAATTGGGCATTAGGTTTTGGCGTTCGTGCAACACAAGTTTTTTTGTGATCGAGCCTTCGCATGACAAGCTGACCCGTATCGATATTTGCACTAGATAGGTACGCGTGCTCGACAAATTCGTTCGGGTCCTGGACGTGCGGATTGCTCCAGCTGTCTCGGTTCTTGCTCAGCCGCACAGGCTATCAAATGCGAAAGTGTCTAGGTCTGGGAGATTGCGAGATTTGTCATGCATATTTTGCATAACCCGTGATGCCTGTAATGCATGGCCTAGCATCGCAGATTTTTGAAGGGCCTTCTGATGCGTATTCCGCATGAGAAACGCCCACTCCGCGTAGCACAAACTGAACTCCTCGTCTTGCTAGTCATGCAATACAGATTTTTTTACCTTCCAGAGACAGCATCACACGTTGCAACCTTCCAGACCCAGACATTTTTGCAATGCATACAGGCGCCGGTCGCATCCCCGTCGGTGGGGAAACCCACGTTTTGCCGAAAACCGGCAGCGCTTTCTGCCGCAACGCGACCAGGACCTTGTTTTCTTCCATGCTGCGGACGTGTTCCGTCCGGTACCGCCACAAGTCGTCCTCCAAAAGCTCTTCGCGGGCTTCCGGGTATGAATTGCAAAAGTATCGCACTCGTATAAATGCATTACAAATTTCCTCAGCATGAGAAATGAAATTTGTAATGCTAATTTTTTTTTATTTTTTTTTTGCTAGGCAATTCGCGCGCAGTTTTTCAGTTTTCAGGAGCGCCCCGCGGTCGGAATACTTCTGGTGGTAGACGTGGACCAGGGATTTTGCGGCTGCACGCCGGTCGGTTTTCGCGTTTTTTTTTTTGGTTTTTTTTTTCTTTTCTTTTTCATTTTTTTTTTTTCCCTTCTTTTTTTTTTCCTTTTCTTTTCTTTTCTTTTTTTTTTTCTTTTTCATTCCGACACAGCTGGCGCACAAAAAGCGGGGGGCGATTCACGAAGAAGTGCGCGGGTATGCTCGGCGTTCCCGAGGCCTTAGGCCGTACCTTTTTGATAAAATCCGGGCTGCGTCCTGGCTCCCGCATTGCCTCCGCCCTTCTCTTCCCTCGCAAACAGGCCGCGCCCATCTTCCCCGCCGCGCGCGTGCATGTGCGCGCTAATTTGCCTTAAGAACAGGATTTGTACTAATGCATGACTGCAATACGAGTACGATACTTTTGCACAGGATACCGGGAGCACGTTCGCAATCTTCACGTCCCGCTCCGTGTCGTGGGTGAACTTCACGCGGCCGCTGCACATCGCGACCAGACTCGTGTCCTTGTCCACATAAACATTTTCTCCCGGGTACAATTTGAAATGCTTCTGCCGGCTGTGAATCATCGAGTGGATAATTGTTGATAATCGTGCACCGTCAACGAGAAATTCATTTATTACTGCGATCCAGCAACTGGAACCAGTCCTGGCCTTTGGCATAATTTAGCTTTATCATTTATCATCGCAACGCGCGCATCAGAGACGAAACAACTAAGTATTACCGAGTCACGTTCGGGTTTTTCGATATGTATTTCCTCTGTTTCACCACGGTTCTCCCCGTTTCCACGTACTCTGCGGACAAGGCGCGGATTCCCACGTGCGTTCGTTTGTCGTACGCCCGCGAAAACTCGGCGTGCCGTGCGGGGACGCGGTACGAGTTCGTCTTGGTGTATTTCGTTCGGATCTGCAGCGACGTTGGTCCCGCTGGGGAGAACAGCAGCAGCTGCTGCAACGGTGCGTAGTGTCTTCGCGCATAATTCTGCGTAGTGGAAGACGAACAACTACTAGCAGTAGTTCGCGCAGTGAGGAGCGTCAGGGACGACGGACAGGCGTGCAACATTCGTAGCTTTCAATGCGATAGATTCCGAAACTGTGGGTCCTCAGGCCATATAAGCTAAGACGTCCCCCAGCATCCGAACCACGGCGACCGATGACGAAAGAAAGCGCGCTTCTGTATACAGAAACCAAATTGATCTCTATCAGATGACGGTAGCAATCTGCAAACACTGGACCATTCCGAATTTTCTCCTGCTAACGCCTCGCATTCAACGTGTAATAACACAGATGTGGGATGCGCCAAGTAAGGCCTGATGAAAATTCGAAAGTGAACACCCACACATGCGTCGTCGGAGAACTAGGCACAGCTGGCAAGCCTAGGATCATCCCACGACTCTGGCTGATCTCAGTCGCGAGTTATGTACGCCTCCACGACTTTTGCTGTTTTCCGGTACCGGTGCTCGATACTTATTATTGATCGCACTGCTACTTACAAGAAGATTGGATGCCTGGGCGAACGAGATTCTTGTGCGTAACCAAGGTTTTTTTAGCCGATTTCGTAACCAGGAAGAGGCCCACACCACTCATCAACAACATCATCTGTAATCACCCAGAGAAGTCTTTCCTCAAGCTCTTTTCGTTCTGTCGCACCAAACCAGCCGGGAGCGGAGCTCTTCTTCAGGTGCTCGGTCATTTCCGTTTTGATGTCCGAGAGACATTTTCGCCAAATTCTTTTTTGAATCCCAAACAGCATGAATCCGCCAAGCGAGATTGTACCAGTTAGAACTGAGAGTACTGCATCTACGGTTTGCTTTATTGAAAATATGGTACCGCGGTAGGTTCCAGTCGCCGGGACAGTTCTTGTGCTCCGGCCACAAAAGCGGAAAGACGCCCGCCGCAATTTCCTCCTTGTCTGTCTCGGTGATCACGGGTATCACCGTGCCCTCTTGATGCCCTTGTTGTTGTTCCGGCCTGCCGAAGTCCAACTCGCTGTCCTGTAAGTTTTCAGGTGCTTCGCAGCATCCCCACGATCCCGGCGCCAACCTCTTTTGTACGAAACTGCCCGCAGCGGCACCGTTTCCCGAAGCAGAGGCGGCAGAGCTCTGTGTTTTTTGTACAATGTGCGCAAAGTCGTAACCCTCGCTTTCCTCAAGCTGTACTTCTCAGCCTGCATCTCATAATCGGTCATCAAAATCACATATAGTCACAGCGCGTGGGTTGATCAAAGAAACTTCAGAACAGACAGGTAACTACCTGAGCGCTGGTTGCGTCGGTAGAAGCAGTTGTAGACTCCTGGCAGCAATGCCCTGCGTACTCCGTACCGTCTAAGAGCTTGTCCCTGTTCTTATCTGCTTCCAACGGCCCCTATCCCAGAGAAAAAATATCTTATTCGCAACGCAGAAAACATTTTTGAAATGATCTTGATCTGGAGTAGAAGCCTCGGAAAAATCTGTAATAGAGCTGGCCACGGCACACCTGTGCCTCTGTCTATTGTATAGATTTTTCTTTGCATCGTCCCAAATGTGACGAGCTAGGTCTATTTCTTCTCTGGGATAGACACTGGTGCTCGGACGCGTCCAACACGAAATCCCCGCTCTTGTCCAGGCCCTCGTAGGCGGGTAAGAGGCCATTGCGGTAGAGCTTCATAAAAACCGTCCAGCGACCTGTGGATTCTTGAGTGGTGATGGGAGATGAAACAATGCGAGTGACAAAGGCACACCACATCAAAATGCAGACACATGTAGAACATGGGCTTGATGAACCATCAATTACCTTTCTGTACTACCGCGCAATAGCGAAATTCCCAAGCTCGTACCTGTTTAGCGAAACGTTTTCACACCGAGCTGCGCTCCATACGGGGTGATCTTCCACTTTGTCATAAGCCTGGTTGTCAGCGTCTCGTCCTGTTGAGTGTGAAGTTGTTTCGTACCTTCAGCTTCGTTAGCGTTTCTGTCTATCGTAAGTATGACCGCTCGCACTGTAAGAACATCACAAAATTTATTACTTGCACGGACAGAAAAAACTTTTTTCTGTAAAAAACTAAAACAGCATGACACTGCGTGAACGGAAAGACCGAAGAAACTGAACCAACTACCTGCGACTGAAGCCCCTCTTGGGCGGCGAAATTGTAGTGGAGTAACTCCAACTCGTCCACTGGACTGGCATAGCCAGTCGGTGGCAAATTCAGCACATCACCATAAGTGTCATTCATCAGAAGCGTGATGTTCGTGCCGTTCTTCGTGGCTTCACCCGGCAAGAGCTCGTCCTTCTCCATCTGTGAGCTGTTGTAGTCGTACATGATAGCTCCCTTGGTGTTTTCCCCGGTTTTGACAACCAACTCGACGAAGCCACTTTCCCCGTTGTGTGCAGCTCCTGCTGTCCGCGGCAAAGCAGATCCTCCGTCACTGTTTGTGCTGGTCGGCGTGTGCTGCTCCAGTTCTTCATCGTCTGTACCCACATCCTATGCAGTAGTAAAATTTCGTACTCGTAAAAAATTGCCTCAAAAAGAAAATGTCATGCTGATTCAAGTCTAGAAACTAGACTTGTCTTGATGCATAGCTGCAATTTAGACAAGTACGATACGTCTGCAGAAGATACATCCGTCTCCTGCTCCTCCACGTCCGCGACACGGGATTTGCCGTCTGCCCCGACGAGCCAAGCTCCGTCGGAAGATTTTTCCGCTATGTTCTTACGCTCCATCTTAGCCGCGTCCGCGGCCGCAGCATGTTTGTCCGCGGACTGTTGATGTTCATGTTCTTCCTGCACCGCGATGGCCGCGACAAAAAGGCCCTGCTGTGAATTCCTCGTCACGTGGTTGAGACAAATCCAAAGACAGGAAACGCCCACTCGGGACCGGGCAGGAAAAAACGTCACTCCTGCTGGCATGAGTTTTGTGTCGTTAAAGCAGCATTTTGTCTCCCTCTCCTTCTCTTTATTCAAACTGCTACTGTAGACCTAACCCTTTTCATCAACCCGCGGACACTGGTTGAGAAAAAAATATGGACGATACCTAGAGAGAAGATATTGGAAACAGGAGAGGAAACCTCCATAGGCCAGCACGTGACCCCACGATGTTGACAAATGCAAAAAACCCGCTCACTGCCGAAACATTTACGACTCCCCTGATTGAATCAATGAGACGCCTATGTAAGTATAGTTGAAATTGACTGGGTTTATTACTTTACTCGTACGTCTCTCGTCTTGATGATGACCCGCGTTTTGTGATTTTGAACAGGACACGGTAGGGGTGGTGAGTAAAGCAGTTGTGTCAAATCCGGTAGAGGAACAACTCCGACGAAGACAGATCTTTCTTTCCGAGGCAATTGCTTCCACCTCGAGAAGTGCAGTCCTATTCATCAAATCCCTCTACGTACATCTTTTGCGAAGAGTCTCCGGACGATGACGACAAAGTCGCTTGCAAGAATCTGAGGCGCTTTCGCGACGAAGAAAAATATCGAGCTCTTATGTCCAGCCGAAATTTTATCTCACACCCGCGAGGCGAACGAAGACCTCGTGGATGAGGGCATCGTGGGTACGCCGGGCAACCCCGCCTGCGTGCCGAAGTAAAAGGGGAGACACTGCGTGTTGCTCCCGCCGCTGACTTATCAAATGCAAATATGTCTCCGTCCGGAAACATGTGATGCTGAATGCTGAAATTAACCGAGTGCGCCTTTAGCTTTTAATCCAGCGCAGTGAAGCATCACAAACTTAAACTTTTAGATGGTGCGTAGTGCGCATTACAAGCTGCGACGTTGCACAATGAAAAAGTGGCGCAGCTTCTGGTGCTGAATATGCAATACAGATTTTTCAGGAATGCGAAACAAGCAACACAGGTTCTCCATTTCCAGACCCCGACATATTTGCAAGGCATACGACTTCCTCGTCGATTCCGAGATGGATCGGCGGCTGCGCGAAGTTGTGGTCGCAGAGCGCACGCACGAAGGCGGACCGGGACACCAGGCCCAGCTTGCGGCCCTGGTTGGACGAGCACACGACGTAGCGCAGGCTCGGGCTCTATGCATTGCAAATATGTTGTCTGGGTCGTCTGGAGACACACATGCAAAATTGTAATGCGTGTTGTGCGCCACACATCAGAACTCTCTGATGCAATATTGCCCAGCTCTTTTGGTCGATTTCAGAGGACGACGTCGGTCTCTCATGCGGGACGGGCATTGCACTAAAGTGGACCTCGTAGGTCTGTGAAGATGCTACGTCCTGCATTCCAGACATCAAGGGGAAGGGAAAACCTGCATGACAAACCTCTAGACTCAGACTCATTTGCGTTTGATAAGTTCTGGTGAAACACGCAGAACAGTGTGACGATTATCACACAGAAGAAAGCAGGCGGGGCCAGTTTGTAATGGAGAAAATGATGAGCAGAAAAATCTGTCATGGGCGAGCCCATAGCATCCTGCTAAGGGTACGCAATTTTTTTGCGTATTGATTTTTGCAATACAAATATATCCATGCCTGCTTTTTTCTGTAAGATAAGGATGTGGGCGTCCATGGAGAGGCGGGCCAAGTGCGTGTCCTATGAGAGCGCACATCAAGCAACTCCCCCTCCCCGTCATTCGCATTTAATAGCACGAGCAGCAATACAAACACCAGCACACGTGGAGCCTGTGCAAGACAAGTTCATGCGCAGGAGAATATTAGTACTCTTTGGGATAATTCTAGAATAATTTGTCATGTAAACGATGCCACAAGGCTGCGCCGGGATTATTTGGGCTTCCGCATGACAAATGCGGGGAACGAAAGCTCACTGTGCACTCTCGTATGTCTACCAAGAAAGACACATCCTCCGCGATCACCTCGTCGTCCGCCTGTTATGCATTGCAAAAGCATTTGTAGTTATGCATAGGCATCACACATGTAGTTGCCGAGGTAAATCCGCATTACAAATTGTAGAAATGCTGCGTCATAATTTGTAATGCAATTTGTACTAGCACGATATTAATTTTGCAATTCATACTAGCTCGATGTCCACGATGTGATTGCTTGCTCCCACATTGTTCTCGTCCCCTGCCGAGCCGGTCTGTGTCGGGAGCCGGACGTATCCCACAGAAAAAAGCAGGCAGGACATATCTGTGATGCGAAAACAAATACACAGAAAAATTTGCCATCGGTGGGGTCTTGTTCTGGCATGCAGTTTATAGGCTACGCAATACAGATTTTTCTGTGTGCTAATTTTTGCATCACAAATACTTATGCCCTGCCTGCGTTTTTCTCGAGGGTAAGACGCGCCCGCGGTTCTCCCCCGCGATCGGCGTCGGGTCGTCCGATTCGTTTGCGGGGAGCGGGTATCAATTGCAAATATGTTTGGGTCTCAAAGAAAATGGATATCATGCAGTTTTTGCAATTGCGAGAAGATGTGGAATTATGCTTAGAGAGCATGACAAGTTATCTATCAGAACGCTTCTCATTCGTAGAAGTCTACATGAGAAATACCATCTCTTCCTGGAGACAAAAACCGGACATCTACAACTTTTCCTGGCTATGCAATCTATTGCAAAATCCGCATCACAAGTTGACTCCATCGTTCCAACCCAGATGACATATTTGCCATGCATAGCCGGTCCGCCGGCAACACGATGATGCGTCGGTCTAGTTGCTGTGTGGTGGGCGATTCCCTACTTTTTTTGTCCGCCCCAGCGACACCATGGGCATCGGACGACCTGGAGTTATCCAAATAGTAGCTGCCGTGATTTTTATTAGTCGCACGACCCCCGGGGGAAGTTGAAGAAGACGACTTCACTGCGTGATTGCCTCCGGTCGTCCCCATGGCAGCCACCACCGGGTCGTTGAAGTCGTTACTGTATCCATGGCAAATTTAATGTCTGGGCCCTCTGGATGAATGCAGGAGTTAAGTTTGTCATGCATCTTTCGAATCACACAGATGCTCCGGAAAAGGCATCAAAGGCCTTATGTTGTACGAGTTTTGCTCACATGTGGTCCTAATGGCTGTCCTGCGCGAGAAACTCACAAGCTTTGTGGCAAAAATACATGGCCAGTTTTTGGCGCTCACGCAACATAAATCTTTGCGTGATCCAGAGTTTGCATCACAAATTGCACTCTTCCAGAAACAGACATCAAATTTGCAATGCATATACTGGACGCCCCGTAGGAGGACGTCGAGCTGGAGGAGTTCTTGCTGTGCGCCCCGTCCCGCGACGAAGAAATCATGTGGAAGTTGTCGTCCGACCCACTGTATCCTCTGCAAGAGTATCGCACTCGTTCTCGATCTCGTAGTAATTATTGCATTTCTGCATTACAAAGCTCTTTCTCAAGCTGAATCCGCTTTACAAATTTCATTCGTTATGCTGGGCGAATTATTTGTAATGCATTTTACGCTAGAAGTTGTACGATTACGATAGTTTTGCAATGCATACGCTGCCGGGATGAACAGCCTTACTCGGCGAAGTAGTCGACGCGTTGTTCAACACCGTCGTCAGCTCGATCTGCTCCTGCGGAGACGTTGACAGGATGTTGGTCCCGCTGATGTTTGGACTCCTCCCGGTTCTACTTGGGAAGTCCACACTGCGCTTTCCGATTACCTCCTGGAACCCAAGGGTGGTACTTGCCGCATCAACTACGTCCGCGGCCTGCTGGGGCTGTGCCGCCGAGAAAGTTGTGCTAGTCGTCGTGCCAGTTGTAGAAGTTGTCCCCGTAGCTCCTGCTAGTCCAACTTCTGGTGGCTGGATCAAGGTACTGCTGGTCGTCTGCGGGACTCCGCCGCTGGCCAAGTTCTGGTCCCCGCGCATCGTCATGGGCGAGGGGACGCCCAGTACGGCCTGGCCCTGCCGGGCCGCCGTCTTCAGCGCCGCCAGAGAGCCGCTGGACACCTCGACCACGGCACCGCCGGTGTGGAAGGTTTGCGCCCGCACGTCCATGTTCTCCGCCCACAGGCCGTATTGTGAGGAAAAGTCCCCCCCTCCCCATATCGAAGACGAAATTTGAGATGCGGCATTTGAGTACACAAATCGACTTGCATTGCTAGAAGACCAAGGGACACAGTTGTGGCCTCGTTATGTGTAGGCAATGCGTCATGCTGTTTCATCCCGCTTCCAGTTGCTTCCTGTCATGCTGACGACGCAAAGCTTTCCCGCTCCAGCCAGCACTACAGTCCGCATCTCTTGTTCCCTTCTAGCATGACAACGCGACTCACTTGTGATCACAAAGAATCATGCTACACAAGTCTTCGTTTTGATGTGGGGAGGGGGGATTTTTCATTTTGATAGGCCGTCGCCGCCGAACAGCGCGAAGCAGCAATACCGCTCTTCGAGCAGCTTGTTGTCCTCCACGCGCATCATATGCATTGCAAAAGTGATATCGCCCTCGTTGTACTATTTGTAACCATTCGTGACAAATGCTTGTTTCTATCTATAGCCAAATCAGCATAATGGAAATTGCATTTTTGTTCTTGAAGAAATTCAAATTTGCCATGCTATTCGTACTAGTACGATGCTTTTGCAATGCATACATCATTTCGATCAACCACTGGCGCAGCCGGCGCTTCCGGATGTACCCGAAGATCGGGCCGACGCCACGCCGCACGAGAATGACTGAGTCCTGCTCCGACTTCCGATGGTTTCTCTCGGTCGTGGTGTGGAGATTGCTTCCCCGGGGACCACCACCTCCACCCGCAGTCGTTCGACTTCTCGCCGCGTAGTGCAACTTCATCTCCGGCGCGCCCTCCTTTGACCGGCGAAGCAGCCGGTCGCGGTCCCGCTTCAAATCGTCGCCCCCGCTTTCGTATCAAATGCAAATAAGTATGTCTGGGTCTCGAATAAACTTGTGATGCTAAAATGTGCAAGAGGAAAACACTTCCTTATGCAGGAAAGCATGACAAGCTTGCAGAACGCTTTCTCATACGAACTCCGCATGACAAACTGCGTTTTTGTATGACATGAGAGGCTACCACTTTTGTTGGTTATGCAACACAGATTTTACAGTCATGTAAGACCAGCATTACTAGTTCGAACATTCCAGACCCGCACACATTTTTAGTGCATATATCGTCCTCGTCGTCGGAGGAACGGAATGGGTTCTCCGCAAGCAGTTTGCGGCGCTTCTTCTTTTTCGTCTTCCGCGCCGAAGAGTTGTTTATGTTTAGCACAGCCTGCGGCGAACCAGAACTGGAATGCCCTTTCGTCGTCGTGCCGTCCTCCAGGACCACATTTGGCCCCACATAGTCCGGCTCGAACACGGTGAGCTGCGAAGAACTTGTGGGTGTCGGCTTTATTTCTGCGCCCCCGGCACTGTTATTGCCAATTTCATCTTCCCCCTCGTCCAACTCGATCACGTGCGTGGGGTCCTCGTCGTGCTGATCCGCGTCCGCGCAGAGGGTCGCGGGTTCCAGCCCCACCATGTCGCGCAGCGCCGTATCCCACGAAAAAAGTGTTACAGTTACACATGTGTAGTGAATTCAGCAACACAAATTTCTCTGCATGAGAGAGAAAACTTGTAATGCAGAAATCCTACGGGAAAACACCTATGGAACGAGGCTCCTATGCATATCCGGCATCACAGAGCTTGTCTCTCTTGCTTGGTCTGCAACACAATGTGTAACTGTAACACTTTTTTCTTTGCATACGCCGCGAACCGAAAATACTGGTCCACGTCCAGCACCTTGGTCCAGGGGTACTCGCTCGCCAGGTCCGCCACCAGCACCTCCAGCCGGATGCTGGTGGGCGTGTCCTCAATGTTGGCGAAGCCGTTCAAAGTGGCGTGCTCCTCGTAGATGCTGCCGGTGAACAGGTCGCCCACCACCTTGGCGGTGATCACCGCGCACATAAAGGGAATCACGTAGGTGAGCTCGCCGGTGAGCTCGAACATGGTATGAACTGCAAAAGTATCGTACTCGTATAAATGCATTACAAATTTCCTCAGCATGAGAGATGAAATTTGTAATGCGCATTTACCTTAAGTAAAAGATTTGTAATGCAAGACTTGCATTTATACGAGTACGATACTTCTGCACAGGATACATGATCACCACCAGCGAAACGGTCATCCGCGTGAACCCCGCCAGCATCGTATCCTGAGTAAAAACGTCCCCACACCAGAGTCAACCTGGGAAATCTGCTAGACAAATCCACCAGCTTTGGTAACTTCGCATGACAAGTTTGTCCTCACAGTGTGATCCTGGTTACTTAGCTAGTTCCGAAGCATCGCAGATCTAGCATGCCATCCTGATTCTAGCATCACAAATTCCAAAACACGAGTAGAGAATGGTTCTCATGGGGCTCCGCATGAGAAACATTTTGAGCATGCAGATTTGCATGTCAACTACAACTATGGGGTGGGGACGTTTTTACATACGATACATCGCGGCGGCCCCGATCATCGCGAACACGCCCGGCTCGATGTGCTGCTCCAGCACCACCAAGTAGCTGATGTTGCCCACCAACCGCCCCACGGTCGCGCCGATGAACAGTGAGGGGATGAACAGCCCGGAGGGGAGCATGGCGCCGAACGTGATCACGGTCTGCAGGAGTCGGATCCCGGCGGCCAGCAGCAGCTGTCCGTTCATGGAGAAGCTTATCAAATGCAAAAATGTCTGGGTCTGGAAGAGTGTAAGCTTGTCATGCAGGTTTTCCATGACCCATCAGGTCTGGAATGCGGGACCTAGCATGACAGTGTCTGTGAGGTCTCTGCCATGCCTATCCTGCATGAGAAACTCCCTCCAAACTTGGTCGAAAGCGGACAGGTTTTGGCACTCATGCAACACAGATTTCTGCATGATTCGGATTTAGCATGACAAGTCGCAATCTTCCAGACCCAGACATTTTTGCAATCCATAAAGCTCGCATTAAACGTGTTCTTGTCGTTGCAGAGGGCGAAATGCAAGCCCTTGGAGTGGGGACAGGTCTCGAACAGCGCGTGGATCGCTACGGTAGAGTGCGATTTCAGCAGTCGGGTGAAAATGTAGTTCGTCACGGAAGTGCACACCGCGATGAAGACTCCCTCCACCACCACCAGCGCGCGACTCGACAGCCGGTACTGGCTGCCGCGCTCGCGGATCTTCCGCACGAACCGCTCGGGAAGCAGGTAGCTCAGAATCCACTCGTGCTGGTCGCGGGTGAGGAACCAGAGCGTGCCGTGGTCCTGTTTCTTTCTCTTCCGCTCCCGCGCGACGAACAGGTTCATACGGATAAACAGGCCGGAAAGGACGCCCCCAAGCACGCCCAATAGCAAGAACAACCAGATCTCGTTCACGCCCCACTCTTTGCGGAAACTGGTATGCAGAGGCAATAAATTGCGCTAGGTGTCTAGGGGAAAAATGATCTACTTACTACTTCCTCGTACCTACTTACTCCACATCACAAAGAGAAGACGAACAAGAACACAAGAAAGCCTCCTTAAGTGTAGTACTCGCGCCTGTTCATCAAGATTTACAACGTACATTTTTTGCATGACAAGAAAAGAAGCACAACCCGTGGAAATCGATAAAAAAACGCATTCTTCCAACGCATTCATCAAAACGACATACTCATTCCCATTGACAGCCAAGCTTTTCCCCGCCGGCGTAAGAGTTGGAAGCCGTGGACAGGGAGAACATCGTGACGTTGTTACTTCCGGTGATGTTGAGAAACTTCAACGTGAAGGAGGCCGCAAACGCGCCGAGAAAGCAGAGCAGCAGCGCCCGTCGCGTGATGGTCCGCACCGAGCCAAGTTCCTCCACCGCAAACAACACGCCGCCCAAAGGCGCTCCGAACGCCGTGGACACCCCGACCGCGGCGCCGACGAAGCTCCACTCGTACTATGAGAGTGCACACTCCCGCCCCTCCCCCTCACTTGTCATGCAAAACCCCAAGTCTAAGTGCTTCCCTTTGGCACTGTTTGCATGCCAGATTCCGCAAGCCCAAACAGTAGCAGTACTGCACTAGGCGGGTACAAAATTTGTCATGCACAGGCTCCACGTGTGCTCGTGTTTGTATTGCTGTTCATGCAATGCAAATGAGGGGGAGGGGGAGTTGTGCACTCTCATACATACAGTGGCACGTTGATGACGTCCTGTTCGTCGCGGAAAAACCGCGTGTACCGGTTGGACCCGAGAAAGGGAATCCCCTTTAGGTTCCCCAAGATGTGCGCCCAGCACACGCCCACCTGGATCAGCGGACCCTCCTTCCCCAACGCCAGGCCCGCGCCGACCACGAGCGACAGGCCGACGGACTTGAGCAGCAGCGTCATCGGCGAGAACGACTGCTTCAGGTCGAACCCGGAAACATGGGCCTTCACCTCGGGAATCCCGGACCCCTTGGCTTGCGGCGCGAATTCGAACACGATCAGGCAGCAGATTGCCGTGAACAGAACGGAGGAGCCGCAGTACACCAGAAAAGCGGCGAGCCAACCTATCCACGAGCTGGAGCGAGACGAGGCGACCGCCAGCTCTTCCCAGGCGTACCACTGCTGCACATCCGCGGCTACCTGGGACGACGGGTCGCGGTAAACCTCGGCTGGCGTGATGCCTGTATAGTTGGTTTGTTTGTAGTATGTTTATTTTCTCATGAGCAAGTGCGGACATTGATTTGAATCCTGTTCGTACAGGATTGCGATAATAAATCGCACTTGTTCTCTTCTCGTGCAAGTAGTATTCTTACCAAATATAGCCGCCGGGGCGGGGGTAGTGAGGTCGTGGGCGTTTTTTTCCGACCGCCGCCTTGGCCGCGGCTTTGCTTTTTCTGGGCTCGCCATACCGCCGTGAGTAACGTTATGCCGCACGGTATGGCGGTCACTTGAGAAACATCACAAATCTTGGCACATTTCCAAAATTCCTTTCCGAAAGCGAGCCCCGATGCTATGGGGCCGATCCGGGCGCCACGGGGGGCGCTCAAAAAGCAAAGAAAAATCGGGCCCGCAGCATGCGGGTTGGCTTTGCGCGTCTGGCGCGCTTTTTCCCTTTTGCGTTTTTATTTTTCACGCCGGCGCTTTTTGCAAAGCTCCCCAGGCTCTGAAACCGGCGAAAAGGCGGCCGCTTTCGCGGCCGCCCAAAATGCTTCGAAATCGCGGCCGTGCCATGCTGTTTCGCTTTTCTGATTTTGGGCGCGCTTTTTGCGCGCCTCTTTTTGGGCGCCCCAAATCGCCAGAAACTAAGGCGGTGGGCTCCTCAGAAGGGCGCCCCTTTTGCCGGCTCCCCTGCGTCGTTTTATCAAGTGCGAATCGATAGTTTTCGACCGGGCTTGTTTGATATCAAAGCCCCGCCCGCTTGATAATTGAAAATTTTTTATGTCAAAAAACGCTTTCGGCCGCTTGAAAACTGCCGGTCGTTTTGCTGGCTGGGTGTCAAAAAAACTCCCCGGTTAGAACCGTTCGGTGACCTCACTACATACAATTTGCGCACCAAAACTACAAGCTCCTGATGTCTATCAAATTCATTACAGCGATCCTCGCTCTCGTCGTAGTTGTCAATGCCGCCGCAACACCTCTTCCGGTCGGCCAACACGAGGTAGTGTGCGGAGTAGCAAACGCCGAAGCGGAAGTCCGCAAACCAGTCCGCGTTGTGTGTGATGAAAGCCCCGTTGAGCGCCACCACGAACCCGAGTAGCACGGTGAAAATCCACGGATACAGGGTGCGAAACAACTTCGTAATCCTAGCTTTGTCCAAGTACAACTCAAAACACTGATCGTTTCCCCGGTCTTGGTGGTCTCCGCCTGCCGTGTAGGAGCCCCGTAGTGCCGCCGGCGCAGGTGGACCACTACTGGATATCGAACCGCCTCGATGCTGCGTGTTGTGCGCGGAGAGCTCGCGCACAATGTCCTCCTTCCAAGGCTCATAAGGCCGGGGCTCATCTTCGTCCGAGGAGGTCTCCATAGTTAGTTTCTTGCACTTGCGGTCTTCGTTTTTTTTTTTACGAGCAGGGTGTCGTGGTCATTTGGTGCATCTTCAGATTGTAAAGGGAAAAGGCAGGAGCGGGGGGCAGAATAACTAGGGCTCATCGAATGTAGAACGACCGTCGAAGCATAGTGCTTGTAGTTGAACAGTGCGTGTGATGGTACTTCTAACAAGAGACTAATTCTTGGTTATAAACGACGAAGGAGGAGAGCAAAACGAAGCTGAAGGAGGAGAACAAAACCGAAATCAACAAATGAATATAGATCACAACGAACACGAAGCTGAGTGGATCATACCAAACGAAACGACGTTCGAAACACTTTCGTGGATCATGGGACCGAGACCACGTTCGAACACGAAGAAAAATTTTAAAGCGACAACGCTAGGAACAAGTCCTACTTCCCTACTTCGACAAATCGGCTTCTGTGTTTCACGTACAAAAAATCCTGGCCTTAAAAGCGAATTGTTTCTGCTGGTGGTTTCATCCTCAAAATTCGTCGTGTTAACCTCGAATTGTTCACACGAAGGAAAATAACAAATGCGGTTTTTACTCACTTGTTCCGCAGCACGACGCTTTCTCTTCCACTGTAGAAACTTATTCCGGCTTATTCCGGTTTTCCAAGCGGTCCAGCTGTTTCACCATTGCGTCGTACTGCTCCTGCGCCGCTTGGTACGCGGTTTTCTCTTCTTCTGTCTTTGCAAACTCCGCCCACTCCTCGAGCAGCAACCGCTGCGAGCGCAACTGGTTCTGTATCAAAGTGGAAAATGCCCCCTCCCGATATTAAAACGGAACTTCTGATGCTGGATTTGTGTACACAAACCTTGTATTGCAGGAAGGCACTGCGGCCAGATCCAGTCTAGTTGCTCAGCATTGCAAACGGCTGCCCTTTAGGCGCAACAGCATGACAAAGCGCTTCCATAATGGGACGGAAGCTTCTGCCCTTGTCTTCTTGCAAGACAAATTTGATTCAACACAAATTTTCGGAAACATACCTTTCCGATATGGGGAGGGGGACTTTTTCCTTTCAATATTCTGCATCTGCAGCAAGGCCGAATCGATCTCCAACGTGCGGATTTGTTGGTGCAGTGTAATCTCCTCGATCGATTCCTTGTGTTCCGGTGGAACACCGGGAAACGCGTCCGCACCCGGTACAGCTGCCATCTTTTTGGTAGTAGAGAAGTTCTGTCTAATGGGTCGACGAGAAGTAGTAGACCTAGACTATGGAAACGTAAAGAATTCGACGAGATGGAGCTTCTGTTGAACACAAGAGCCTCTCCATCAAAAGCCGCAAATAGCTCGAGCGTGCGCTTGTATGGCTCGAAAGAGAAGCGCCGCCAAATATTGCTGGTCCCAGTAATCGCTCTGCCCTCATACCTGCATCGATGCTTTTGTCACTCCTGCGACTCTGGCTTGTCTTGCACAGCACTCTTGTTCAACGACTATCTAAGATCACAAGAGGAAACGAACAAGCGGTATTCTCTGCGCACCAGCCAGACCGCAGCCCCATGCAGGACACGCCTGCATGAGGTCGCAGGGATAGGGAACTAGATCTCGAACAATCAAACGCCATAAAGCAGCATATTCCGCTTTTTTTCATCGTGCAAAGAAATCATTCGGCTTCAAAATCTTCTTCAACTTAGTTCTGCCAGTGCAGTTCTGCAAAAAAGAAACGGAAACGAGAGCAGAATCTTCAAACATCTCTAAAGGAACAACATTGCTGACCCTTTATCTACTTCATTTGCATCGCGAATAAGTAGAGCAGAAGTAGCATGATCTCTTTTAGCCTTAATATCTTCGCCCACGATACCATCCCCGCACTGCTGCAACTGCCGCGATGAAATAACCTCGCTTCTCCCAAAAATTCTCCGTTTCCTACTGTCTTGAGCGAGCTGTGGTCTTCTTGTTGAAAAACTAGATGACCTCTTTGATGGAGAAGGACCACCACCACTACTGCCTGACATCGGCCGCAACAGCGAGGCCACTCCCGACAAGACTGCCACGCCCACGGCAGGGTCCTCCGCAACACATGGCGGGAAATAAATTCCTCGCATCGCAATCTCCCGCGGCGGGGTCATCAACGCGGGGGGTTCCGGGGCGACGTTCGCCGGGAGCGCGGACATGGGCCGCCCGTACACGTACCGTTCCAGATACGCCTGGGCCTGGTTCGCAAGGTTTGCCGCCAGGTTTGACTCCTGCGCCATGTTCACTGCCAGGGCCATGGCGTTTTGGCCGGCACTGGACGCCGCGTGGATGGCCGCTAGCGCCTTTTGCCCGCGGCCCGCCAGCAGCTGCCGCATGGCCGCGTCGTTGTCTTCCGAGGCGGCATCCCAGAACGCGGTAGGAACGTTGAAAAATGCGTGACTATGCGGCCGCATCATGATTGAAGACTCTAGAGGTCACTGATAGGAGGGCACGAAAACACGACAAAGGAAATGCACACCGTGACATTGAATATGAGTACTTGGTACACTAAAAGCAGCAGAGCATTTCTCATTTGAAAAAACAATTCACATCTTGAGCAACGAAAACGAGACAAAGGTCGATTTGTTCGATGCTTTCTCTTCATGCTCACCCAGTCTCTTTTCGATGGGTTTCGAGTGTCTGCTCTCTTCAGATCGTGATGAAAGACGGCAAGAACGATAATGTATGACGAAACAAGCTCGACGGCGTGCCAGTTCTGGGAAAATGAAATCGCCACGAGAACCTTCTTTATGCTCATAATATGATGCTGTTAAATCGATTCGAAAAATTATTCGGAAAAAATGATCGTTTGATATTTTGCAAAAATGTCCGAGACACGACGGCCGTTTGTTCTGCGCGCGGCCCGTTCTATGTATGAAGCAGTGCTGATCCCGTGGAAAAGAAAACAGTATTAAACGAGGAGAGTCTGGGTCGGAGTCCTGCTCACACAGCCTTCTTGCAAGAAGGCTACCTCTCGTCAAGCTCCCCCCTCTCAAGTTTCCGAAAAGTAGGGCGGAAACTTGACCCCGGCGCTCTTCAGCGTGTTCAGTGCGGCGTCGAAGTCCGCCCGGGTGTTGCCCGCCTGTCCCTTGGAGGGGCACCAGCACTGGCCCTGCGGGGTGGGGTCGCACTGCTGCTCGCCGTGGACCGTGTGGAGGTTTTCGAAGCAGCAGTACTGGCCGCGCGGGCAGTGGTCCTCCAGGTACATCACGTCAATCAGCTTGTAGATGTCCGGGTTCTTCGCCAGGCAGGGGATAATGTCCCACTCCGCGCCCTCCGCATCCATCTTCAAAACAAGGTGGTCCTCCGGTAACACGCCCTCGCGCAACCACCGCAGCAGGTTCACCAGTGTGACCTGTGGAATTTGTCATGCTGAATTGCCTGAAGAAACCTGATTAATTTGTCTTTGTGAACTGACTAAGCTGCTACAAGGGTTGTATCTATCAAAAGTCAGTACATTGACAGGCGTTTTCGCGGTGCCCTGGCGCTGGATGTCGCTGTGATGCGGGTCGATCGCCGACCCCCGGGCGTGCGGCCCCGCGGTATCGAGGTAGAAGGTTTCGTTTTGCTTATCGCACATGTAGGCAGCCTGCTGCACCATCGGGAAGATCCGCCCGGGCACCCGTCGTGCCACCTCCGTATGAGAGTGCACAACTACTCCCGTTGTTCAACCCCATTTGTATTGCATGAACTACACCGAATACAAACACCAGTACGCGTTCCTCCAGAATTTGTCATGCAAACAGACCCACACTGCAGCAAGTGGGATCGGGATTTTGCATGACAAACGAGGGGGAGTGTTGTGCTTGTGCACTCTGATACTCCGTCAGCGACGGCCCGAAGTTGGAGTTCGGCTCCACCAGGTAGGACAAGCACTCCTCCTTCTTCCACGCACCCGTGTCGAAGGTCAGCTGCTGCCCTTGCCCGCCCGTGCTCGTTTGCCCCCCGTGCTCGCCGAGGAAGGCCAGCTCGCTGTCCCCGCGCCCCGCCCCCACGTCGATGAAGAAGCACATCGGGTCGCGCGGCACCGGCGGCTGCCACTTCGGGTTGGTGGCCTCGCAGGCGCAGGGCGGCCCGGCGGCCGCGGAAGATTTCGTGTCCGTAGAAGTTCCGGAACTTTTTCTACTCTCCATCGAGGGCGCAAGGAACGATTTCTTCATGTGTGCCGGTTTTGGTGGATCGCGATTATTATCGGCGAGACTGAGTCCATCGGCGGTCTTCCATGGCGGGTGCAACAGCAGCACCGACCAAAGAGGAGGAGCTTTCGGCATCTCGTTCTTGTCGCGTACTATGCAGTTCTTTTGTTGTATTCCCCGCACCACTGGCGGCAGTATCGGCCGGCGTCCGGCGGCACCAGAAGCGTGCGCGGCGCGCAGCGAGAAAAGGCACGAACTGTCCCCGTTCCCAGCTACATCTTTGAACAAGAGTAGAAAAAGCAAAAGTGAGGAAGAAGTTGTACTGGATAGGAGCTCAGTCGTTCTTGGAAATGTAACCTTCTACTCGAGCGAAAACTGTGTTTTGAAAAGAAGGCAAACGCAAACCAGTTACCGAGCAGACAGACTTCTTCTTAGATGTCTTCAAACGAGGAGGTTTTTAATACTTCACCTACTCATAATTGAGCCAACATACTCTCAGCATCAATCTGGAACAGCCCAGGTGCAAAGAGTAGAGAGCAGGTCGCGATGCTCTACTTTCAGAATCTGTCTCTGTTCTGATGTCGTGCAAGGGCTGGATCAAGCGATGTACATTTTGCGCAAGGTTGGTTCATCAAATTGTATTCCCAACAAATATCAACGCGGCCGGATCGTTCCTGCTCATGACCGCAGCACACGACCATGAGCCGCTCCAAAAGCTGCTGCTGGTGGTCCCAACTTTCTTACAAATAAGTTGCATTTGTAGAGTCTATTGTAAATAAACTTCGAAGATTCTTCAGCAGTACCAACAGGATCAAACGACCTGAGTAGTACTGCTGATGTTTTTGGAAATTGTAAACCCGTGAGAAAAATGTCATCTGATCCCCTTCAAAGACGACATCTTTGTGCCCGAAAAGTTGTCCAGCGTAGTAGCCTTTGGCTTCACCGGCACGTTGCTCCGTTCCGGCGCGAAAACCTTCCAAAACCGCAGGGTTTCGTCCCCGCCCGCGGTGAGCAGCGTGCTCCCGTCCGGCGACTGCGCCATGCACAGAATGCGGCTCGTGTGCCCGGCGAGCTCCGCCAGCTTCCCGCAGCTGGGGTACTGCCACACGCAAATTTGGTTCTTGCTGTAGCCGTGCGAGTATGCATTGCAACAGTATCGTAGATACTCGTGCAACTCGCTGCAAATCGCAAGATTGCATGACAGATCTCGCCTTTTAGCTACAACAGCATCACAAATTCGACTTTTTCTTCTGGATAAATTTGTAATGCAATAATTCGTACTAATACGATACTCCTGCCTTGCATAGCGAGGAGGCGATCTCGCGGTCCGCCGTGCTCCACCGCAGCTGCGTGACCTGGCTGTCTGTGAGAATTTCGTTTACGCACGTGCCGTATGGATTGCAAAAATGTCTGGCGGGTCTGGAAGATTGAAAGTTGTCATGCTAGATCCGAATCATCGAGAAATCTGTGCTGCACGAGTGCCAAAAGCTGTCCACTTTCGACCAAGTTTGGAGGGAGTTTCTCATGCAGGATAGGCATGGCAGAGACCTCACAGACTCTGTCATGCTGGGTCCCGCATTCCAAACCTCATGGGTCATGAAAAACCTGCATGACAAGTTTACACTCTTCCAGACCCAGACACTTTTCCATTTGATATGCCGGTGTTCGCGTGCCAGAACCGGATCCGCATGTCGTTGCTGCCCGCCCCGCTGGCCAGCAGGTTCCGCTGCCAGGGGCACCAGGCCAGGGCCTTGACCGCCGCGCGGTGCTCGGACAGCAGGAAACGCGGCACGGAAAGATTGTTTTCGTCCGTGAGCTCTCAAATGCAAATATGTCTGGGCGGTGACGCTAAAATGTGCATGATGAAAACACTTCCGAATGCGGCCCAGCATGACAACTTCCCAAAACGCTTTCTCATAGGCAATCCGCATGAAAAACTGCGTTTTTGCATGACAAAAGAGGCTGCGACTTTTGTTGGTTATGCAACACAGATTTCCCAGGAATGTAGAGCTAGCATTACAAGTTCCACTTTTCCAGACCCAGACATATTTGCAGTGGATATGAGGCAGATCACGTTGTCGTTTCCGCCCGACGCTAAACACGTCCCGTCGTGCGACCACTCCAAACTGCAGACCTCTTGCTGGTGATATGCATTGCAAATATGTCTGGGTCTGGAAGATTCTTACATTTGTCATGCATGTCTGACATGACTCGAGCATCTGTGATGCATGGGCACGAAATGGCTCTCCTATCTGTCATGTAAAAACGTTGTTTCTACTCATGCGGAATACGCAGCACATAGCAGCTCAAAAATTTTTCATGCTTGGCTGCGTATTGCAATCCGGCTATCATCCACTTTTAGCATTGCAAGTTTCCAGACCCAGACATTTTTGCATTTGATAGGTGAAACCCCTCGCCCATTTTGGCGACCAGGTGCTCCCGGACGCGAACGTCGTGGTTGTGAATCAAAAGGAAATTTCCCTCCTCCCCATATCAAAACGAAACTTCTGATGCTTGACCTGTGCACACAAATCTAATCAGCTCTGTATTGCAGAGAGGCACTGCGGCCAGATCCCCAGGCTAGGTAGAGGCGTATGGGTCTAGTTGTTCAGCATGGCAAACGGATCCCCTTTAGGCTCAACAGCGTGGCAAATCGCTTCCCTAATGGGGCGAAAGCTTCTGCCCTTGTCTTCTTGCAAGACAAATGTGATTTGTGACCTCAAATCAGCAACGCAAATTTTCGGAAACATACCTTTTCAATATGGGGAGGGGGAATTTTTCCTTACGATACTGTGAATCTCGAAATCCTTTGATCCCGTGGACAAAAGCGGCCCGTTCCACGCGAGAGCACCCACGCGGGCGGAATGGGTGCGGAAGGCGCGCAGCTGCTTGCTCTTACCTGTAGTTTTGGACGAAACAATTTTAGGTGGAACAGCTTTAGCCCTCGAAGTCCTCATCTCCACGAGTTGTAGTTCAAGCACTTATTTCTATAGCTTAAGCTTTATCTTTGATGCGACCTGTACTCTTCACGGGAAAAGCGGCTTCTGAAGTTTATAGTGATTATTTGACGACCACAGTGGACTACTACCACACTGAATGCTTGTTTCCATTATGTATGCTGCAAGAAGACAAAAAGAACTTCACTATTACTTTTGTCCAGTACCGAGATCCCAGAGCTGTGTGGTGCTGTCGGAGAGTCCCAATGCCAAGTGATTTCCGTCTTTGGTGAATCGAAAGGGAAAAAAACCCCTCCCGATATACAATCGAAATTTCTGATGCTGGATTTGCGTACATAAATCAGCCCTGTCTTGCAGTAGAGGACTGCAGGCCCATATCAAGCCGGAGTGGAGAGGTTTTGGCCTAGGCGCTCACCATCACAAAAGTCCATGATGTAGGCCCAGCAGCATCACAAACAGCCGGCGGAATTCGGGGGGCCTTCTGGGTTTGCCTTCTTGCAAAACAGACGCGATTTGTGGCCACAAATCAGCATCACAAATTTTCAAAAATATACATTTTCAGTATGGGGAGGGGGGATTTTTCCTCGCGATATGGTGAACCGCACACTGGTGAAGTAGGTGTCGGTATCTTCCGGTAAATATCAAAGTGAAAAAAGCCCCCACCCCATATCGGAAACGGAAGATGCGCGAATGTGTGATGCTGTATTTGAGTACACAAATCGACTTGTATTGCTAGAAGGCCAAGAGACGAAGCTGCGGCCTAAATTGCCGGCAATCTGTCATGCTGTTTCCCACTTCCAGTTGCCTCCTGTCACCCTGAAGCTGCAAGGCTTTCCCACGCTAGGGAGCACTACAGTCCGCATCTTTTGCCTTCTAGCATCACAAAGCTGATTTGTGACCACAAATCTGCATCACAGATTTCCGTTTTGATATGGGGAGGGGGCATTTTTCATTGTAATAGTAAACTACAAAGCTCTGTCGTGGACGCTGTGTTGCCGTTCCAGAGGTAGACCTGACAAGAGGGATGGTGCCATCTTTCAACATCTTTGTGCCGAAGTAGAGTGGATTTTTTATGTAAATCAATACGTCGCACAACATACCTGAACATTCGCTACAACATCACTAGCAACCACGATAATATTGCATAAAGCATGTAAATAGTACAAGTCCGCCAAGGGCGACCGCGACCACGTTTTGGCTGCTCCAGTCAAGCAGGTTGAGGTAGAAGTCGTCCACTAAGTCGGGCGCGTCGAGGGTCCGAAATGCGGTGGTGGGGATCACTCGGTCGGCGCCCACCGTGCTCGCCGCGGGGTTTCTGGTCGCGTTCCGCGCCACTGTATACACCACTCGCATCTCGTCCAGTCCAGTCTGCGCCGGGGGCGGCGGCTTCTTGCTATACGCCAGGATGCGCTCGCTCTCCATGTCCTGCAGCTGCCCCTTCCCGAGGCAGTTCTCCGCGAGCGCCCGCTCGTAGTTATCAAATGCAAAAATGTCTGGGTCTGGAAGATTGCGAGGTTTGTCATGCATATTTTGCATGACCCGTGATACCTGTAACGCATGGCCTAGCATCACAGACTTTTGGAGGGCTTCCTGTTGCCTATTCCGCATGAGAAATGCCCTCTCCACGTAGGACAAACCGGACTCCTCTTGCTGCTCATGCAACACATATTTTTAGAATCCAAAGACAGCATTACAAGTTCCACTCTTCCAGACCCAGACATTTTTGCAGTTGATAGTAGTCTGTCTTCGGCAACAAATGGTCGCCACTGTTCAAGTATGCATTGCAACTATGTCTGGGTCTGGAAACTTGTGATGCAAGAAAGGGAATAGTGAGCGCACTGTAATGCGCTGGCAAGTATGACAAGTTTTTCGTTTTCCATGGTTCTGAGTTGCGTACTCCGGATGAGAAACTGGGTTTTTGCTTGACAGGCAAGAGGACCGTTTCGCTGTCACGCAATACAGAGTTTAGAGTCATGCCAGATTAGCATGACAAGTCTCGCGATCTTCCAGCCCCAGACACATTTGCAATCCATATCAAGTCGGCTTGCCCAGCGTGGAACATCATGCGCGCGCTGTCGCTCACCGAGGCCGGGAGAAACCGGTCGGCGGTACCGGCAGTACTGGAGGAAGAGGAGCTCGAGGTGCCCATAGAAGACTGGTAGGGCCCGGACGGTCCTCCCGACGAGTTCGAGGACCCGCCAAACGTTTCGGGCATAATTTCGGATGAGTTTCTTTCCAAATGGGAAAAAGAACCGGGTTGAATCTTGTTCTCCGATCGCACTTTCAAAAAACCCACGGAGAAAAGCGAAAGCAAACCAATGTAGTTTTGATGCTAAAGTAAGTTTAAATTCCTTTCTTTTGCACATTTATATTTTCTACATTTCCTAAAATATATACAACTCGGATCAGGAACCATTTCGTCCAAACCAAGCAACAAGTTGCTGTGGAAGATTGTACAGCTCTGACTCTGCTTTTCGATTAGTATTCGTTCGAGCGGTAAAACAACTTCCTTCGCGGTACTTTCTTTTTATGTTCACGACTGCGATTCCTGTTCTCCTTTCCTCCAACCGAACAAAAGAACGACGGACAGAAAGTGATCGAACGAGCCGATAAAATCGAAATAAACACCGCGTGCCTTCAACACACGATCACACTGTCATCACCATCAGAGATGAAATTATCCATGAAATGAACGTGGTGCGTTCTTTCGCTGGCTAGGATTGTTCTCACTTCTTAATACTGTTGCGTACGAAGTGGATGATTGCGACAGCACACACACAGAAGGACAGAGTACGCAGGTGGAATCTTCACAATCAGGCACACATCAGTAACAAACACACGGACATCTTCAATGCCAGCACGGAAGTTTATTTCATCACGATTGTATCCGGCATGATGTGCTCACTGCCTTCTGAGAGCAGGCTGTTGCAGCTGTTCCAAAGCTTATAGAAAAAATGTGCAAAGAACTATGTACCAGGTATTAAATGTTCAGTGTTACAGTTTACTCGTCGTCGCACCTTGTTCCTTTTTCATATTGGCCGGGTTGCCGTCTACGAAGGCCTTCAAATGGTCGCAGGTGGAACAGACCACGCCGTCTTGCACCACCCGCCCCTTGCTGAAGACCACATTCCGTGCCACTTTCTCAACCCAGGCCTCCCATACGGCGGGTTTTCCGACCTGCAGTCCCCGGGGATAACTGCAGTTCAGACTGAGCGACACGTGATTCCCCGGCCGCTTTTTACTGTTTGACGTCGTCGGTTTTTGCAGCTCTGTAGTTTGATGTTCTACTACCGCTCCGTTTGCAGCTTTTGGTGATGCTGGTATGGCGTATCCAAGAAAAAAACTGTGTTAGTGTAAGTCTTTTGGGAAAACAGCATCACAAGTTTGTCTGCCATGACATTGACAGGACAAACTTGTTATGCGCAGATACAAAGGGAAAACACATAGGAAGCGAGCCGGTCATGCATGTCGAGCATGACAAGTGTAAATTTTCTGCATCACAGATTTACACTTACACAGTTTTTTTCTTGCATATGACGTCAACTTCCGGCAATACAATTTCCGCGGTCACGATTGCGACGCTCGTAAAGATGTCAAAGATGGTCGCCACTGCGCCGCCGTGCACCGCCCCAAAGCCGTTGTACACGGAGGTTGGCATGGCAGGCACCGCCAGCCGCACGTACCCCTGTCGCACGTCCTGAAAATTCGCCGCGACAAATATCTCCGCCATGGCGGGTCCAGCAAACGTGCTCTTCTGACAAAATAACCGCTGCACACTGTGCACGACCAGGTCCCGCGCCAGGTTCGGCAGGGGCGGGACGCTGGTAACATCGAAAGGCAGGTGGCGCAATGGCACGTGTGACGAAGTCGAACTGCTTGCCGCTGAGGACGACCGTGCAGAGGAGGGCATGGCACTGCTTCTTGTGCAGGGAAATATTAAGTGCTCGATACAGTAAACTACGCTAGAGGAGGACTTTTCTTTCGTGCGCAACCTTAACAACAAACACGACGAACAACGGATACTGGAACGAAAAAAAACATGACCGGCGCAGGTTCAGAAGAAGTATATTCAACATGAAAGTCGATCAATAGCGTGTGAAAGATGCGCAGACTCTGCAGTCGACATTTCATCACTAATTCAGTCTTCTGTAGGCTAAAAAAGCCACACGGCACGGCAAAAAGTGGAAAAGTTGCTGGAGGTGAACAAATATTACATACGTAAATTCATCATTGATTGCTGACTCTTCATCTACTGGGCTTCGTCTTCAGTCTCTTCGTCAAGAGGCTGGCTCATAGTGCTTTTCTCAAGATAACTGGGTCGAAAGACTAGGAGAGTTTTTCAATTTCGTCGCCAAAGTCAACTTTTACATTGCGGTCGGCCTGAAACAAAGCATATGGTATTATGAGTTTTGTTTTCGTTTTCCGATTGATAATTTGCAAGGCAATATTAAAACCGGGATAAAGAAAGTCGTCGTGATATAATTCAAGAATACGTACAAGTACCAGATAATGTTCTTTTTTTAAAATTTCCTTGTAATATGCTGCCGGTAATTCCTGAAGAAAAAACCAAGCTGTCTTTCGCCTCGCTCTCATAAAAAGCTTGGCTCATCTTCGGTAAAAGAAAAAAAACTACGTGTGCAGCTAGCGATTTTGGTTTTTCTTTTCGAGTTCGAGTGTCGGCTTGCGCTTTAACAACGCAACGCTCGACTCTGCACAAGCACAAGGTGGGGCCGAAGTGCTGGGGGTAATAAAGTTGGTTTACTTATAGTAGTGAAAACTATAATATAAACATTCTTTTTTCAATGCGCGAAGCTTCCTGTTTCTTTTTCTTGCAAACAGCGGGTGGAATTCCTCTTTCGATACGGTTTTAGCATTTATGATGCAACCGTAATCCTAAAAATTTGAATTTCGCACAAAATAAAACTCCAGGGAGCTATTACTGCTTTTCGCTGCACAGACGCGGCAGCAGGTTTTGACAAAAGCTGAAGAAAGAACGACACGAGAAGGAAAAGTCGCGACACAACAACTCAAACACGACCTAAGGAAGAAAAAGCAACGACTGCAGAAAGGGTGCTACGGGCTGCGCCCCGCTTGTAGCGGCTTTCTTCTTTGTAGTTTATTCCTTGCTAGGTGGTGTAGAAGAATAGTTTCCATCAGCAGTTACGGGCTCTCGAATCATAGGACCATCATTTGTAAGCATCATAGGTTTTCAAAAGAGACCGGTACGCGCTGAGGCCCAGACTTTTTAACACGGCGGCACGCTGAAGGTTGCTATTTTTGCGTCGAGCATACCGTCGGGGAAAACAGGGGGCCCCCGCCTCCCTTCCTTTCGCCCGCTGGGTATCCTCCCCACAGGGGGGCCCCCGTCCCCGGCTCCCGCCCTCCCGCCTGCTGGGTATCCTCCCCACAGGGGGGCCCCCGCCTCCCGGCCCGCCCGCAGGGGGGCCCCCGCCGGCCTCCCTCTTTCACTGGCCACGCGCAGGGGGCCCCCGCCTCCTTGCCCGCCCCCCCCCGCGCACCCGCTGGGTATCGCGCCTGCAGGGGGGGCCCCCCGGCTCCCGCCCTCCCGGCCGCTGGGTACCGCGCCTGGAGGGGGGCCCCGGCCCCCGCGGCCCTCTTTGCCCACAAGGGGGCCCCACCTCCCTGCCGCCCCCACTCGAAGGGGGCCCCCACTCCCGCCCTAACAGGTCCGGAATGGGCCTCCGCCTTCGTAGTTACCTGACTCCCGGGAAGGGGAAAGCTTGGGGAGGCCCCACCGTCACGCCCGTTTGGATGGTTTCAGTTTTGGGGAAAAGAGGCGGCCTGCCCTAGCCTTTGGGGCTTAGGGCCGGTTGCCTTGCTGGCCTACTCCGCCCGCTTTTGGCCGCGGGCAGGCAGGGAGCCGCCCACGTGTGGTGCGCCTGGCTTCCGGGCCGCCCGCATTGGTGGTTCGTTGGGCGGGGGGGGGTGTTGTGGGTGGCCCGCTGGTTTGCCATCTTGTTTGGGAGGGGGGGGAACTTCAGCTATTGTGCCCGCGGGCCTCATCACGGACATAACCAGTGCGGGGCTTTTGTTGATCACAGCTATTGTGCCCCCGGGCCTCACCACGGACCGAACCATTGCGCCGCTTGCTTCTGTTGGGCGCCTGGCCGGTCCCCTCGTTGGTGACTGTTCTGGGGGTGGTCCGCTCGTCCGCCCGAGGGGCCGCAACCGCAGGGCCCGAGCCGTAATGCAGAGCGGCGGGGAACAAGGCCCACCACACTGGGGCGCCCGCGCGCGGCGGCGGCGGACGGGCCTCAAAGCGCCCCCAACAGTAGTGCTGTGGCGCGGGCCGAAGGGAAAGAGAGGCGCAGCGGCAATACTGCCCGCGCGCGCCATCACATTCCCGGAAGCGGAGCCGTGATACTCGGGCGGGCGTGCCGAGGACGTTCGCGACGGCGGTGCTGGTTGTGGGTTGGTTGTCAAGTTGTCTCGTTGGCAGTGCGCCAGTTTTCAAGTTGGTTGCCAATACGTCAGAACGGTAACCCAATTGACAACCAACAACAACCAACCGAAGAGGAGACACAGCCGACATGCGCATGCCCATTCTCAGCGCGACACAGTGGACACATCCCCCACATGCGCAGCAGCCAGCGTGCGCGCGCTGGTAATACTGCCCACATGCGCCAGCGCGGTCCCGCGTGGAAGTTGGGAAAGCGGGCGCGCCGTGGTTCGCACAACAAAACTGCCGAAGTTGAGCGATTAGCACAAGTCGAATCGAAACACGGCCCATACCGCCCTGGTTCGGCGCAAAGTGTAGGGCTAGTTGCACAGCGAGTTGCACCGTTCAACCTGCCGTGCAACTCGGGCCATACCATCGCGATTCGCAACGCAAAACGTGCAAAAGTTGCACGAGTTGCGCAGGTTTCCGGGACATCTCGAAAGGCCCGTACTCTCCTGGTTCGGCGCGAATTATTGTGATAGTTGCACGGCGAGTTGCACCGTGCAACTCGCCGTGCAACTCGGCCGTACCCTCGTGATTCGCAACAAAAACGTGCAAAAGTTGCACGAGTTGCACAAGTTCCCGGGAAATCTCGGAAGCCGAAAATTCCGGGATCCTGGAAAACGATGAAGATCAGCAAAGAGAGACCAAGGGAAATCCGTCTCGCCACGAACTGCGAAGCCGCATGGTATGGCGCGCGTTCGCCAATGAATTCGCTAAGTTTGACCAGCGTAAAAAAAGGCGTTTCACGAGGGTACCACGCCCGGGTATATACGCAAGGTCTGACCCCAATCACGATGCTAGTGCAAATAATTCTGGGCCTCAGCGCGTACCGTTCTGGTTCAAAAACAGTTCTCAATCTCCCGAAGTAGCTTCCGGACCAACTCCGTGGAGCTCCTTCGGGAGGCGTTGACTCCGATCCAGTCATTCTCATTGCTTGATTTCACGTGTCATTCATTGAATAAAAAGCGATAAAATGATACTCATAATGAATAACAGCTTTTTGTTGCTCCTGCGATAAGGGCGAGGTCGTGACTACTACCTTTCTTCATGATCTTCTTGAGACGCTAAAATAAATCCGGGGCGATCGATTGGTGGCGGTCCTGTTTGCCGGCTTCTGGCGACATGCTTCTACGTCGCTCCTCTAGTGCCAGCTGATTGCTGACGCTGCTGCTGCCGATATCCACTTTCCGTTACACTTATAACTTTCCGTTGATTTCTTGGGGCAGCTGCAGCTCTATGAGACAACGACTGGCCGCTGAACTCTGAGGGAAAAATGAAGCTGGGGGCATTCTGGAGTTATCTACAACTACTTTTTTTCGATAGCTCCTTCGTACCAAACAGGATATGAATAACAGGGGTGTAGTAGATCATGTTGAGTACTAAAAGCACATAATAAATACCACTACGCCAAGATTCGGCTGAGAGCTCAAATTTATCTCGCCCTGCTTGCCAGTGCGTTTCGTGGTCGCCCTCTACAACTTCAGAGGTGTTTCTTTCTCGTGGGGTAGGAAGAATATTTCGAGTTTGGCTCGGTTACTAGCGTAAGGTGGATACAACTTTTGTTACATGATACGTAAGTACAACTTTTGTTACATGACAGCACAAACATTCCGCCAGTACCTGGAAAAACCACAGCGGTTTGTACTACAACTAGGTACTAATCAATAAATACTTTACTGATCTGGATTAAACAGATTCAAGATGAAGCAAATCCTTCATCGCCGAGGGGCGATGGATGTAACATTTTTGCCTTTCCTGCGAATAAAGAACTTCTAGCTACATTTCTACCTGCGGATTCAGATTCGCCGACGAAAACCTTCTCGCGGTGGAATGAACTAAATCCGAATGAAGCTATAAAGAACTCTCCACCATAATATCAATATCGCTGCCTTATTCCTGTGGTTTTCATTTTCTCTGTAGCGTTTGATCTACTATCCTGTCCTCCTTTACACCGAGCTTCGTCTGGAACTCCTGGGCTCGGGGATAGGGGAAGATCCCGCCTGGGCGGGCGCCGACTGGTGGTAGGCCTGCTCTGGCACGGTCTGCATCATCTGGCAGCTTTGGTTGTAACAGGTAGAATCGTTGTAGCTCTCACACGGAAAAAATACTCCCGAACAGCCGGAGCTTCCCGGAGCTACGGACGACGAGGAATTTCTCTTTCCCATCATCTGCTGTTCCTTCTGCTGCTTGAGCTTTTTCTGCACGTCGCGAAACAAACGCTCGGCGTTCTGAATCCGCTGTTCCGCCTTCGTCAGGATCTTTTATCCATGAAAAAAAGTGTGTAAGTGTAACTCTCTTTGAGAAACAGCATCACAAATTTGCTCTACATGACAGAGAAAACCTGTCATGCGTGGCTTGTAAGGGAAAACACACATGAAAAGAGGACTTCATGGCTGTCTGGCATGACAGGTGTAACTCTGTTGCATGTTCTGCAACACAAATTTACACTTACACAAACACAATTTTTTTCTTGCATATCTTTAGCCGGAACACCACCCCATACTCCGGCGCGCCGCCCATGAACATTTCGTGCAACTTGTAGCGCTTGGCGTACAGCTCCTGAATCTTGCGCGCGCACGCCTCGGTGTCCTTTTCGTCGACCATGGGCTTCAAGATGAAGGTGCTTTTGCTTTCATCAAACTGGTGGCGCGCGTGCTCTTCTTCTTCTTCTTCGTGCTGGAAAAAGTGGTCCTGTTCGGTGTCCTCGACGTCGTCGTTGTGCGGAGAACAATTCTGCGCTTCCCGACCACCGGCAAGAGTACTGTGGTTCATAGAAGTTGTTCCAGTCGTGTTGTTGATCATCTTCTGCTGCTGCTGTTCCCCATTTACTGCAGCAGCTCCCCGACCACGTCCCATCACGGTCGGCGTCGAGGACGCGGCAATAAATTTTCTGGAAATCTGCGTACTAGCTTCTTGCTGCCCTTATAGTATCCCGGGGAAAAGAAAAAAGTGTCAAGGCACAGAACTCTGGTGGTGGAGAAAAAAGTCCTTGGGAATTGTTCGTGGTCATGATCTCACAGGCTATGTACTATATGCAGTACACGTACAGCTTTTACGATGGATGCAAAGAGATTGATAAAAAGAACTATGCCATGACACAGACGTTGTTATTCAGGAGGATACCAGCACCGCCTTCAAACTGATTCGTGATACCGGACATCGCTGTGTTGATAAATTGATTCATCGTGGTGCAACAACTTCGAGGAAACAAAACTGGTAGGCCATGCATTTTGAAAAAGGATCATAAGGAAATGTTTGGGTAATGTATCATTTTACACGGACACTGGCCCCGGCAATGGGAAGACTGTTTTTAAACGTTTTTCATTGCACAAGTAACAGCACTTGTACATCCTTACCATCGTCCCCGCCCGCAGCACTCAGGCCTTCTGCATCGACCACCCCCACCATGTTGGCGGCCGACGCACAAAAATCTGCCGCCCGCCCCGCCGTCTCGCCCGCACCCGCAGACCCGCTTTTCATGGCGATCATGTTCGGGTTCCCTTTGCTGTCACTATGTCCTCGGTCGTCGTGTTCCTTTTTGCCCCCCTCGTGCGAAAAGCCGGCGGAGTTTTCGTTTTCATCCTCGATGTCGTTGACGCTCAGTTTCGCCAGACTGTCGGACAGCACTGACATCAGCTGGTTGATCTCCGAGTCGATCTTATTCTGCGCAAAAACGTCGCCACCCCAGCGTGAAGATGGGAATTTTGCAACACAAATCAGCACGGCTTGGGTTTGGCTGCGGCCCGCCACAAGTTCTTTGGACTCGCAGTGTAGTAATCCTGTCCCTGTGTAGCTAGAGCAGCAGCATGAGAAATCGACACTCTCATCCTGATTGTTCTAGCATGAAAAACAAAAACTCCACCCAGAAAGCATCAGAAAATGCCTGTCAGGTGGCTGCGCATGAGAAACTTCTTAGGCATGCAGACTTGCATGACAACTATGGCATGGGGACGTTTTTACACAGGATAGATCTGTTCCGCCTCCATTTCAACATCGCGAGCCGACAAGGAAGACCGCTTGGTTCCCACTTCCTGCTCCGACGACGAACAAGAGCACTCTCGACAACTGTCTTCGGCGTACGAAGAATCATTGCCGCTCGACGACGCGGAGTCCGTTGGGGCGTAGTTATTGGAGTGACTCCCCTATGCATTGCAAAAGTGTAGTAACTATGATCGCACTGACAGACTAGTTGAAATCGCATATTATGCGATTTCAACTGTTAAACAGTTTGATTCCGAAAAAAACTGTTAAACAGTTTTTTTCGGAATGAACCAACACTGGATTTCGGCACCATCGTAGCTTTGACTAAGAAGGCCGCCGTCAACCTCTAATAATTATGCAAAAATATAATTTTCGCGATTTAGTATGCACAAACTTTTGCATCTGATAGGTGATGACTGCGACTTCGGTTGGAGGAATTGGTACTATTCAAATTACTAGTATTCGTCCCATGCAGTTGGTCCCGCTTGTAGTTGCTATGGGTAGTCGTGTATCAAATGTAAAAATGTCTGGGTCTGGAAGATTCTGAGACTTGTCATGCACGTTTTGCATGAGCCATGATGTCTGTGATGCATGCCCTGGCATCACAGATTTTGTGAGGGCTTCTTGATGCCTATACCGCATGACAAATGCTCTTTCCGCGTAGCAAAAATTACGTTTCCTTTGCTGCTCATGCAATACAGATTTTTTTGGAATACAAATTCAGCATCACAAGTTGCATTCTTCCAGACCCAGACATTTTTACATTTGATATAGTACTGTGGTAGCTGTAGTGCGCCTATCAAATGCAAAAATGTCTGGGTCTGGAAGGTTACCAGGTTTGTCATGCATATTTTACATGACTCAGGATGTCTGTAATGCATGATCTGGCATCACATATTCTTAGAGGCCTTCCTGATGCCTATCCCGCATGATAAATGCCTTTTCGCGTAGCACAAACTGGGCTCCTATTGCTGGTCATGCAATACAGATCTTTTTAGAGTCCAAAGTTAGCATCACAAGTTCCAATCTTCCAGACCCAGACATTTTTACATTTGATAGCGCCGAGGCCGCCGGACTCACCCCTGCCGAGGAGAGCTGCACTATGCGAAGGAAAAAGTGTTACAGTTACACATTTGTTGGAGTTTCAGCATCACAGAGTTGCTCTGCATGGCAAACAAAACTTGTAAAGCGCAGACCATAAACGAAAACACGCACGTACGAAATGAGGTGGCTGGCAAGCATTTCCGGCATGACAGAGGTTGTCTGTCTTGCGTGTCTTGCATCGCAGAGTGTGTAACTGTAACACTTTTTCCTCACGATATGCACCCCGCTCAGCACACTGGCGCGCGTGCTGTTTAAAGTGTCGAAATGCGTCGAATTGTCGGCGAGCGATCCCTCGGTGGGCGAGGCCTTGCGCGTCGAGTGCGGTTGGTCGTGTTGGTCCTTTATGCATTGCAAATATGTCTGGGTCTGGAAGATTGCAAGATTTCTCATGCTCATTTTGAATGATCCATGATGCCTGTGATGCATGCCCCAGCATCACAGATTTTGCGAGCGCTTCCTGATCCTGATGCCTATACCGCATGAGAAATGTTGCCCCCTCTGTTTGGCAAAAACTGAACTTCTCTTGCTGCTCACGCGGTACAGATTCTTGTAGAATCCAAAGGCAGCATCACAAGTTGCATCCTTCCAGACCCAGACATATTTGCATTTGATAGCCTTCCGTTCAGAACGATGTTCCTCGTCGATCAAGAAATCGTCGTCCTCCTCGCACTCCTTCAGCACCAGCTGCAGGTCTTCCTGGGACGTCTTGGGGCCGCGACACATGGTGTGCATGGCCTATCAAATGCAAAAATGTCTGGGTCTGGAAGCATGCAAGGTTTGTCATGCACATTTTGCGTGACTCCTGATGTCTGCGATGCATGCCCTAGCATCACAGGCCTTGTGAGGACCTTCTGATGCCTATACCGCATGAGAAATGCCCTCTCGCCGTGGCCAAAGCCAGACCTCTTTTGCTGTTCATGCAATACAGATTTTTGGATAATGGAGACGCAGCATCACAGGTTGCATTCTTCCAGACCCAGACATTTTTACATTTGATATGGCCTTGATGGAGTCAATCAGGTCGTCGCAGTCGTTATCAATTGCAAATGTGTCTGGGCTTGGAAACTTGTGATGCTAAAGCATGGATGAGTCTGTTGCTTTCAAGTGCAGCCTCACATGACAAGTTTAGTTGGCGCCGTCCGATGCGTAGCACGCATGACAAGCTGCGTTTTTGCATCACAAAGGAGTCGCACGTTTGGTGGCTATGCAATACAGATTTTTCAGGAATGCAGGACATGCAACACAAGTTCCACCTTTCCAGACCCAGACATATTTGCACATGATAGTCGTCCTCCATTTCGAACCGCAATCTGTTGAACGAGGCCTGGTTCTCCGGAGCCGCCCGCGGGGGCATCAGCCGCTGAATCATATCCTCCGGCATGATGTTGGTGGTGTTCGTGTGCTTTTCCTTTTCCGCAGACGTGGTCGGAGGTGGGAAATAATAACCGGCGCTGCTGAGCTTTCCTTTACTTTCACTTATGTTTTTCTTACCTGCCGAAAATAAAGACGCTTGCTGCTTTTTCGAAGCTGCAGTAGTCTTACTTTGTAGTTCTTGAGCCTCCGTAAAATTTTTTTTCCGTGGATGATGATGATGATCTTCTGATTGTGATTCGGTTGTTCTTGATGCTGGTTTTTCTTCTCCCGGTGGTCTACTTCGTCGTTCTCCTTTTCGTTCCTGACTTCCGCCCCTTTCTTTTTCGGACGTGGAAAGAGCTTTTGCGCTCCGTTTGGCGAGACGGGTAAAAAACTTCTTCAGAGGATTGAGAAAAAAGGCGATCGAATAAATATTTTGGAAAGTGGTTGTAAAGAACCCAAGGGAAAGTATCTGGTTAGGATAGTACATAGAAATGATAGATCACGCTTGTTTATCCGGATTAAGTATCAACAATGTTATTAATAGAGATACATCTTAATTGCATTTGAAGTAAACAAAAACAAAAATAAAAATTCTATTTCTACTATCGCTTTTAGAAATCTAAAAGATCGCGTTTTCCTTGCACGTAAGAATCTGCCTGTGGAATGGAGCATGCTATGCAGTTCGAAAAGCCGATAAGAATAAGAAGGGAGGAAAGGCAAGATCTAGAAGCAGGAGAGGGCATTTCTGTGCCGAGAGGCAAAATAGCATTACAGATTTGAATGCACGATAAGAATGAGGTAGGAAATGAGAGCGAAGTTTTTCGTGATTAAATTCTTGCGGTCTGCTGGTGGTGAACGTCTTCACCTTTCACCTTTCGCCTTATGTTGCTAGGATACAAACAAACTTTATTTCTTGTAGTGAACAATACGGTCTATATCTATAATTTTCTATATTCTAAGCATAAATATTTTGGATTCTATATTCTCAGCGTTTGAATACTACTTTTGCTAGCTCTACTATTGACATCAAAACCTTCGAGTACAAACAAACTTTCTTTATTTTCAAAAAAACAGGACTAAGTCAGTAATCGCGAATAAGACTCCGAGATGTGCATATATGAATGCGAAACGCGTCTTCGACGATAAGCCGGCGAAAAGGCGCTCAGGAGCTAAAACAGTATGTAGTATTTGTTCTTGACAAGTACCATCTATTTCTCGTCAAGTACTTGTTGTACTTGCTTCGTGTCATTTATCTTCACATCGTCCTATGATTTTTTTTTGTGAAAAGCCATTTGTCCATCTTCATGACCGCGAAAATAACAGAAAGTGGCTGCGGTCCAGCTTTTCTTTATCGGTAACGGGAAAAAGAGGATGTGCTCAGGGAGCAGACAGAGTATCAATCAATGCGGTGAGAACCAAAACAAGATTCGGAAAATTTAGCTTCTGGTTGGAAAAGCCACTTTTTAATAGTTTATTGATCGGAAAAATCTGCAACCGAAATTGCGCTGCCTCGAAGCTCTGCTGGTTGTACTTCAAAAAAGAATAGTGTGAATAAAGAGGAAGAACTTTACTACTGCTTCACAGGCAAGTGAAATTGCGTACCTTTCTAAAAAAGCGGCAGCAGCACTATCAGAAATGATAGAATCTTCTCTCGAACGCCTGCAAGAGAAAGGATGAAAATCAAAGAGAACATTGCACCGGACATAGGAGAAAGCGAGATGATATTGGAAGTGCTGGTCGTCCGTGATTATCCTACACCAAAAGAATAGTACCATTACCAAGAAGACAGTCAATCCAATCCGCTTTTGTTTTGAACTTCCACTTGTTCGATGACAAAACAGGTTTTTACTAAAAAAAGATGATCTTGTCTTGCGCTGACAGTTTTATCCATCGCAGTTGTGCACGCGCTACTGAGCCTCGAGTGACCACGGTAGTAGAAGAAAGACACTTCTGTCTAATGCCATGCATGTCGCGTTCCCACCTATTACTGCTGCCTGCAGTTTTGTATAATCTCACCCCACGTTGATATCATAGAAGTAGTAGATCTTGGAGGCGCGTGAACTTATGTTTACGCTTCTTGTCATGGCATGATCTTTGCCGTGTTTTACCACCACACGAGCAAAAACATCGCCGGATCGGGTCGTGGTTGCTGCAGTGTCTTCTACGCGTCTCTTCGTCGAGAGCCAGTGGTCCTATGTGCTGATCGTCAGTTGTTTCTTAGAGGTCCTTTGCTAGTATCTTGGTAAGTACTTATTACACCATTTTTATCATTCGCTTGCCGTTGAAGTAAGTTGGGTCTGAGTGTCAAAATACGCTCCGGAACACATGATGCCACACACGGGCGACCACGTCGCCACAGCACGTTGGTTGCCGCGGCACCGTGCGTGGTGCTTGTTTATCCCACAAAATAATCATTGAATGCATCTTGCACAAGTCTTTCACGACTATAATGAATAATTTCCTTTGTTCAAATGATTTCCACATGGTAGTCGCTGTACAATCTACAGAAAAGTTCGTCAGGTGTCGCCAGCAGGTGGGTCATCTGCATTCAAAACATTTCGAGGGCGTGCATATTTATAATTGCAGACCAACACCAGGGGGAGAGAAAATAAATCTGGTTCCAGTGATTGCCATCCCCTCGCCCGTCACAGCCCCCTTCTGCGTTGGCTGTGACTCCACTTCTTCGACGAGATACGACAAGACCAAAGAAGCTGCACCAAACCGGTCCGTTCAAATCGTGCGCAACACCGTCTGTGCTGCTGCGAAACCAGATCCCAGCACATGCTCCACGACAAGACAGTTCTTGTTCCGCCAGGCTGCTGTGAAAGTCCAGAGCTGCATCACTGTTCCGAGTTGTAACTTCGCCAGTTACTCTCTTCGCTGTCGAGGGTGCTAGCTCGTGGGCGGTGTTGGAACCTACGATTCGCGTTTCCACCTGGTGTGCTGCTGGAGAATTGGTCCTCGTCGTCGTCCTCGGAGTAGATGTCACGACCGCCGCGGCCACTCAGTGGCCCGCTGAAGGGGTACCGCAGATTACTCCCGAAATTATCGTCCACGAAAGGGTAGTTATTGCTGTTGTTATTTCGCCGGGTTGTTGTATTTGTATCCAGACCGCTGTTGTAATAGCTCGCCGGAGACCAGGGTTCGTTGGACCCGCTCCTGCTCGACGGCGTGGTATTATTTTGCTGTGCGGGACTGGTCGTTGCACAGTAAATCGGCAATAAATTCACTGCGGAGTCCATGGTCAACAGCGTTCGGTCCTGGATCGTGGGCCCCTGCTGCCGGCGCTGCAAAAAGTCCACCCCCCGGCGGTGCAGCGACATAAGCCCGGTGTGCATGGTGAGGATGGGGGCGTAGGTGGTGTGCGCCAACACCTCCAGCTGCCGGAGAAATCGGAGCAGGTGCTGGAACCCGAGGTGCTCGATTTCCAGGTTTTCGATGGTCGCGAACGGGAAGTCTTCCGCAATGTCCGCGGACGTCCGCCCAAGCTTCTGCTCCACCTTCTCCAGTAAAGTCGCGAGGAAAACCAGGAGTTCCGAGTACCGCCGCTCCGCGCGCCTCTCCCGCTCTTTTCTGGCTTCCTCGGCCTGCTCCGCCGTGCTCCACCAGTCGGCGATGGCGCCCCAGGAGGAATTTGGGTCGACCACTGCTGCGGTTGAAGTAGAACCAGAATTGCTATAATTCTCCTGCGGAGGTCCGTAGCGCAGCGTGGTCTTTGCCACCGCATCTTGCAATGCTTGCGCGGTTAATAACATCTTGGTTTTATTATTATCTCCAGTGGTTGTACTAGTATTTTCCGCGGGACGGCCGCCCTGGGAAATGAGAAACAGCTTCTCGATGGGATACTCGGCGGACGGGGCGTGCAAAACCAGGCAGTCCCCCGGGGTTGCGCGGCCGACAACGCACATGTCCCGTAGCAAGCTGATCCACGCGTCGCACACGTGCGACTCGCGGCACTTGCCGCAGAGTCGCAAACCGCCGCAACTGTTACCCCCTAAATTCGTGCAGGGGGCCAGGTGGTCATGAGTGCTAGAGGTACCAGTGCTCCCGAACGCGCTCCAGCCCGGCTTGTCGCGCAGACAATTCTCGCAGTACAGGGCGTCGCTGGGTTCCGGGGGCGAAAAGTCTTGGATCACGTGCAACCGCAAGGGGCATAGGTTGGCTTCGCCAAAATCTCGCACATCCAGCTCGGAGGGAGTAAAAGGGGGTTTCGGTGCAGGGGGTGGGGCACGATCGTCTTCGGGCCGGTTGGATGACTGATGTTGTACCAGAGTGCCGCTGCGATTGGGAAGATGTTGATCGCTGGTACTTTTCGAAATGCTTGTTGTACCTATCGCTGCTTTATTCCCGAAGGCCGCCGCCCCCGCTGCACTTTGGGTACTACTGCCGTGATGCGGTACTGCGTCGCTCTCGCGTCGGAGCATGATTGACGACGGTGCCCGCAGTGGAACAGTTTTCATCATCATGCCATAGTTTTTATGCTGCAGCGCAGTAGATGTTGCACAAGCACCGCCACTGTTACCGACCGGCGTGCACAGAAACCGCAGAACCGAGTTCAGGGCCATGTGGATGTCGCCGTAATGCCGTCGGGGCTCGAAGGCGGAGAACAGCGGCAGGAAGGAGTGCGCCAAATCCGCAAATTCCTCCACTCGCACATTCACCGCCGGTTTTCCCGATTGCTCGGCCTTGAAGTGCGCGACTTGCAGGTTTTTCGCGAACACCCGGATCTGGTCGCGGAGCTTCTCGCGGCCGCCAAAGACGATGTGTATCCGGGGGCAGACTTCGGGCGAAAAATGGTTCGCAAAGTCGCCCGCGAAGGAACTCGGCGAGGCCCGCCGGAGAATCTCCTCCTCCGAAATTTCCGGCGCGACGATCTCTTTCCACGCGGATTTTTGCTTCTCTTTCGGCTTCAGCCCCAGCATCATCGCGAAGCTCTCCTGGCCCTTCCGCATTTTCAAGGTGTTCTTCTGGTCCTCCTCGTTGTCCTGCGTCGATGCGGCGCTCTCGCTCGACAAAACACTGTCCTGCACGCTCGAGGTCCGTCGCTTCGCCGGCGGAGAGTCCTCTTCCGACGAAGACGAGTCGGAAACCGCCCGAAAAGCCACCTTGTACCGCGAAAGACGGGCCGCGGCGACGGTAGCCGAATCGCCGGAAACGAGGGCCGCAGCACCGAAAGCGGCTTTTTGGTCGTTCATGTTAGACGTTGTATTGTTACTGCCAGCACTGGACTCTGCTTTCGCCCCGAGCTTACTGCTGGAAGTCGTCCTTGCTCCCCCTGAGGTCGTGGCTCCTCCCGCTAAGTTTTTACTTCTTGGCGTCGAGCCTGCTTCTATAGTTGTGATTATCCCGTGCGAGGACGTTGCAGCTGCTTCTTGCCTGTTCAATATTTTTTCCATCGCCTGCAACTTTTCGTGCTGCGATTTCACGGTGCAATATTCTGCATGCTCCGCTGCGAAGTCCAGCGCGACGCGACGCATGACCGTGGGGTCGAGGTAGTCGTAAGAGCACTGGTTGGAATCCCAGGACGGAAGTTTCTGGTCCTGCAGGTCTACCCAGGGGGAAAGTAGCAACAGCCCGCCCAGGAGGGAAAACTTCTTTCGCGCGGCGCTTCTAGTTGGTGCACCTGCAGGTCTTGTTCCCGCTGGAGGAGAATTCGCTTGGCCTTTCATTCCGACCGACCCTTCTCCTGCTCTATCTAAATTCAGCCGTAAACTGCCATCAAGCGCCTCCGCAAGGTCGTCGGCGGGCGGTTCTTCATTATTTCTGCGTCGCTGGTGCTTAGTCGACATTCGGGGCGAGGGGGAGAACTTCTGCTGACCGCGCTCTACTGCTCGCTCCTGCACCCCGTCAGGAGAACGAGGGCTGCTGGGAGATAGTACTTTCGCTGCCTCCTTCCTCTCCTCCTCGCAAACCTCGCTGAGCAGCAACAGACACAATGTCGCCCCGAAGCTGTCTGCGATGACGTAGTCTGGTTTCGCCGTTTCCCACACGAAGCGGAGTTTGCTCAACTTGAATTCAGCACTGTTGCCGCTCTCCACAGCTTCCCCGTCGACGTCGAATAAAGCCACGCTGCAGACCGCGTGCCAACTGAGGTGCGCCGCCAAGTGCTGGTACAACTCCCTCGTGCCCAGCACGACGGAGGACGAGTACACAAACAATACCTTCGGCAAAGTCCCGGTCGGCCGCGTCTTCGGCAGCACAACGTCGAGCCCGTGCCGCTTCCGGAGCCCGGTGCGAACCGGGTCCAGTGCGGGCACAAACCCGGAGGGAAAGGCCACGTAGTCCCCCAAATCCTGCTGGTTGGCGGCGCGCGCAATGTTCACGACGGTAGACACGAGAGACGGCCAACGCGGCTCCGTCGCCTTGATATTCATGGGGCCGCGGGAGCTGCTGCTAGGAGATGACATGGTGGACTTCTATAGAGTGAGATGTCGTGTGAAGTCGCAGCTCGTAGCTATGGTCCGAGGCTCCTTGCAACCAACGAGAAGTTTTGTTCAATTTACCCCATGCGGTATGTTTGGCGTCACCTCTCCTGTCGAGCTGCAGCAGCAATCCTTATCTGCAAAGGAAGAACTACCCGTCGTGCACACGCCGCTGGGGCTCCCATGATTGCAGGCAGGTTGTAGTCCGAAAGGAGGTCGTTTGGCAACTAACACCTCGTGGGTCACTGACGTCGGTGGGGTAGAGCTTCTACTGCTTGGCGGCGAGGAGAAGGAGAACTTGCAATATCATACACGCATCATGTGTCCCGCTGCGTCGCCGTGTCCGTAGTGTTTGGGCATGTACTTCCGTTTCCGCTCGAAGTCGCGGTGCATAAGTAGTTTTTTGCTATTCATAAAAATCCACTAGAAGGACCACTCTCTATGTAACTGAATTAGCGTGAAGTCAAAATGATCAAAACCACTTACACTTTTCATTATACTCCGTGCACAATACAAGTTCTAGTTGCAACAGAAATCACTACAACAAGCAAGTCGATTCCAGCACAACTCGAATGGTACTCACTACCAAAATGTGCTACCAAAATTTTACACAGTTCTTGTCGTTCGCTGTCGCCTGTGCGAGGATGAGAAAATAAACGACAGCCGCATTGCCAAGCGAATAATGAATGGAATCAAACGATTTTTTCGTAAGATCTCGCACGATGTCAGATCTCCTCAGCGGCACGATTTTCAGATCAACACAAGAGTAGTGCAGATGAAGATGTTAATAAAAGTAAAACTACTTTGCGTAGAAGAGGCTCGATCGAATGCGATGCTGCGATGCGATTTTCTTGTTTTCCCACGATTTTCCGTTCATTTCGTGTCGGTGCTCTAGGGTGGACTTGTGCGTGCGGCGAAGATTCCAGATTTTTCACAAAGCACATATCAGATCTACTTCAAGGGCCAATGCATACCTACTTCGTGTTCTTTTCGCGCCAGCACTGGGAGAAGCTTTGGAAGTCATCAAAGTGCTTTGTTTGCTATGATTCAAAGAACAAGAAGATGTTTCACCACCCGAGTTCACCGTAAGTTTCATCTACGATGAGTAGATCCAGAGTCCACCGAAAGGCGCAAGTAAAAACCTGTTCCACCCCACCAGTTCTGCAGACCTGCAAGCAATTTTCGCATCAAACAATTCCGCCCGCCACGAGGAGGTTCGCAAGAGCTATCCCAACCCCAATCCCCGCTCTTGGTAGAGCGCCAACGCCTTGTCCCGCGCCACTTGATTTCCCCACTTTCTCGCCGAGTAGCACTTCGTCTTCGGCCGCCCGCTTTCGTCGTAATAAAACACGGTCCAGCCCTGCATCCGCGCGTCAAACTCGATGGGCACGGTCGGGTCGCTGTGCAGTTCCTTTTCTGTAAACATCGCCCGCTTTTCGCTGATTTGCCGGCTAATCGCGGCCCGCGCGATGGCGCTGCCCGCTCTGGCCTCCAGTTTGGCGTCTCTCCGCTCCGCCGCGAAAGTGCCACTGAATTTCTTCAGCGCCGAAGAATACGCGCACGAGTAGAGCGGCGGGTGGGTTGCGGCGGATTCTTCTTGAGCGGGAAGAACAGAAGAAGTTGCACTGGTAGTTTCCGCACTGATCATTTCTTTCGCACCAGCTTTGGCAACCGCATCATTCGACACAACACCTGGTCCGATTCTTGCGGGTGCATCAACCGTCGGGTCGCCCTCTCCGATTCGCGGCACCGGTCGGCTGTATTCCGGGTGGGCTCCGGCAGCGAAGTCGTGCGTGCCGAAGACAGTTCTCTCCGGAATGCGCAGCCGCGGATCGATAAAATCCTTTTCTTGGTCTTTCGTGGCTGCCGCGTTCCAGTCCTCCAAAAAGTCCTTTTTCTCTTCCAGAAACGCCAAGGCCTCGCGCTTGGCGCGCTCAAGACCGAACTTCTTCACCGGGAACGGCTTGGCGTGCCACTTGTAGTCCTGGTAGAACAGCACTTCCCACTGTTCGTTGTGGTCCTCAAAAAACATGTTTTTGCTCGGACTGTCGTAGTAGTCGTTCCGAACCACGATCTCCTTCGGGTGCGGCTTGTGCACGGGCATAAAGCGATTTTTGCTGTCCGCACGAAACTTATTCCCGACGCCCCATTCGAAGACCCGGCTGTGCTCCGGGCGGGTGCGGCGATACAGGTTTTCGGGCTCCCGGAGCGTGACAAAGTCTGGACCACGCAACGCCACGCCCTCCTCGCCATCCTGGGCTGCCTGGAAATCCAAAGGGTTGGTATGTGAGGCCGCGGGGGGTGGGGGGAGGGTGGTTGGAGGAGAAAGTGGTCTGGAACTAGTTGTACTGCTGCTGCTGCTCGAGGTGCTTGCGCTAGTTGAGGAAAACGACAGGCAGTGGATCACGTGCCGCGGTTTCGTGCGGGGGTTCGACGCGCGAACGCAAGACGAAAGACGGACCGGACGCAACATACTTCCTAGTCTGATCGCAAGTGGTCCTGCGTCAGGCAAAACGAAACTACCGCACCATCTGTGTACACTTTAGAAAGCACCACCGGAGGAGTTGATTGGTATCGTAAACAATTGTAGTGCGCGCTTAGAAAAAATACGCTCACACGCTCGGTTCCATCGCGCCCCACCTCCTCGGCGCACATAAATTGTTGCTGATCTCCGCGAACACACTGACGGCACAAGTGAAAGAGCGGCTCCTCATCAACTAAGCCTCAGTAAAGATTTTGAAAACTCTGGATTCCTAAACCCTAAACCCGTTTACAGAAAAGTGTAAAAAATGGAACCTTTGTTGTGTGGGATACGAATAGTGTCAGTCTTGATTTCGAGGGGACCTTTGATACACGTTCTAAAAGAGTAAGGGCATCGATTAACATGATCATTATCATCATCATCTGTGTCGTGTTTGTCATTGACATTAAATTCTGTCTATACATGAGTGGATGCACACTCGATTAACAACTACATAGAAAGTATAAAAATAGAATAAAGAGACCCCCGTTGGCGGCAACGCACCAGAAACAGCTTCTCGCCCAGGACGCGCCCGTCGCGTTTTACTTAGAAAGATATCAGCGGTGCACAATGTCAGAACGCTCCGGAACCTGGCCCGTCACTTCGACTCGTTCCAACAGCTGCGCAATCTTGTTGTACTCCGCTCGACGCCCCGCATCTTCATGCGTCATGCGAAACCAGTTTGCATGATCCCGCGCAGTGTCTTTAGCCTCGTTCATGTACAAGACCAGCTTCTTCAGATTTTCAGCAGCTGTGCCCGGAAATGCTTCTGCGCATTGCTTCGCTAAATCGATCAGCTCGTGGTGCACGTTCCTGACATTTGCCTCTGTGCAGTCGACAGCCGCGTGCAGTTTTGAGAAACCCTTTTCTCCTTCTCTGCCGTGTTTGTCGACTTTCAACATTCGCCACAGCTTTCTGCCGCGCTTCATGTCTTCGTATGCGCCGGGAAAAGCTTTATACATGTACAATCGAATCATGTCGGGTAAGCGGATTCTGTTCAATTCCGTTTCCGTCAGCTCCGACTTGTGCTCACGGCAAACCCCCTTCAAAAACGCTTCTAGGTCTTGCTTTAACTTCAGTCGGCGGCCTCGCAAACGCTGCTGCACTCGCGAATCTTTCGTCCGCACAAAATACGGCTTCTTCTCGGCTGTGTGCGTTAAGACGCACCGCATCCACATCCAGAAAAAAGTGTGCGCAAAGCAATCGGTCCAGTCCTCCAGCTCATCGAAGTCCTCCCGCTGTCCCTCTGACCTGTTGAAATAGGCCCAGGCGCGGAGTACCGGGTGGACCTTGGTCGTGTGCCACTCCCTGTACTTCTCTTTATCAACCAGTGACTCGAAGAAGAAGCACTGGCACCAGTTGCTATTCAGGTCTTCCGCCCACTGGACCATCTGGTTATTCACCTTGGAAAAATTGTCCGCATTGTCTTGATTGTTAAACAACAGGCATGTGCTCTCTGTTGCTGCGGACATTACGTCGAAGCGGTCACCTCGGGGTGCAGGTAAAGGAGTTGCACCTGTGCGCGTCATGATTTCTTTCTCGGCATAGCTGGTCGTATTTGCGCAGACTAAATAAAAGTTGGCTTTCATCATTTGTCTTCTTTCAAATCTGAATTTCAGTAAAGATCGCATATGGCATCAAGGGAGCCATGCATGTCGCTCAGAAAGCGTACCTGTTTGCGACGTCCCGCCCTGGGCGTGCGGCTGCAAGGCTCCGGTGGGCTGGTTAGACCAAGACGAAGCGCTAGGGGCGACAGTCCCAGTAGACAAAGCGGTAGTAGCAAAAGAGCTTCTTGCCTGTGCCTCAAAAGCCATTTTGAGGCGATTGATCATCGGCACGAAACCCGTTACCTGGTGATACACGTAGAAGTGAAAAAGTAGGTCCCACCCTCGCAGTAACTCCTCGATTTTTTCGTCCGTGAGCTGCAACACTCCCTGATGCTCCCGAACCCAATCGGTCACTGCGTTGACCGTCTCTGCCTCGTGGCCACACCAGAGCCGTCGAATGAACTCTACGAACTCCCAATCCCGCCTCTGGGGTGCACTCGGCAGCTTGCATTCAGCAACCTGTAGCTCAGCTATCGGACGCTCCGCACAGGTCGTCTTGCAGAAGTTGAGGAAGTTGAGGAAGGAGGGCAAGAAAAAACTCGCTCAAGAGCGCATGCGCGGATTTGAATTCCGGGCTAAACAGTGCCCCCTCATCCGGCGCCTCGATTTCGCTATCGCTGGTGCAGTAATATCCTTCTACCTCCATGTGCGCAGGTCCTGATTCCGGGCTTGCGTCACCCATGCCGCTGTTCAGCGTGAAAGATTTCAAGTAAGAGCTGGCGAGCTCTAGCGTCACTGTTGCGGCAATTCTTGAGTTCGGCAACTGCCGAACTTTCTCGACTACGCGCTCCGGTGTTTCTTGCAGCCTGTGATACTCCCGTAGCTTTACAGCCTCCGTTAGGTCATTATCTGTTTTTCCTTGGGTAGCCAACGACTCGACACATAGCTCATATAAAGCTTGCTCTATTAGATTCAGTTCTTCTTCCTCTCCAACTCGACGCATATGCGCATCTCCGTCTCGGTCCTGTTTGGGAGGCATTCTGAAACAGAGTATTTCCGGTACTTGTGGCAAGTAACTATACGCTTCAAAAAAAGATTCGCTTGAAGGAAAACTAACGCGTGAACAAAAAAAAATTAAACGCCGCAGTCAAGTGCTCTAACGTCGAATAGTACTTTGTTTTTCGATTCTATGTTCAGATGAATCTTGTGAAGCTTAGCGCGGGCTTTTCTAGAAAAATCTATCAAGAGCTCCAAGTATCAATCGATCGTACAGAAGAGTAACAAACCCTAAACCCGTCGTTATTAGACGCGGATATTCAAAATCTCATCACAACTTCTCACTCAGTATTTGGTGTTGCACGACGAACACCAAGGCTTTACATATGTTACGGCGCTTACATGTCTCCGGTACCTGTTGCAGTAGAATGAGACCCATCGTTTGAAGGGAGCGACTTTATTTCAATACGGCAAATTTTCAACAATCAACTTCGCAATTTTCTCAAGATCATTTCCAATCGTGATATCGAAGTTTGTTCTAGAGATCTTCAGGCATTTTCAGTGCGGACTTGGCTGACGTTTCGCAGAACAATATTTCGCGGACGATGATCACTCCTTCTTTTATTTTTATCAGATTTTTGAGATTCAAGATTTTCAAAAAGAGCTCCGATGACAGGCGCTTGCTCCGAGTAACGATTTTCCACAGCGAATTACTTCGCGATCTTTCCCGGATCCGCGCCACCCGCCTCTTCCATTTCCGTCGGTGGCGGGGGACTGGGTGGCTCGGAGTGGCCACTCCACAACACCCGTCTCCGCGGGCGCGACCGCTGGGAAAGCACGAACGACCGGTTTTGGTGGAAGGCGTGCAGTGCCTTCAGATCCTCCTCGTTTACTGGTTGTTGAGAAGCGGCTTTACTCCCGCTTGCTGCGGTGGGATTTGTTCTTTCCTCCGAAGTCGCAGCTTGATGTTTTCCAACTTGCTTGTCGTTCTCCTCCTGTTGTGGCTGAGCGTCGCCTGTGCTGCAGTTCTGTCGACATGGCCCGGCTCCCAAAGCATCGGCCCAGGTCGGCCCGCCGATGTAAGGCACGTGAACCAAGGTTGCAGCCGCAAAGCGCAAGACCAAGGAACAGAAGACCGAAAACTTCGTCATCAAAATAAGGCCGCAAGAGGTGTTTTGTCCTGCGCGTCGACGGGGGGCCATTTTCAGGATTCTTCGCTTTAGTGGTCGGGAAATAAATGGTTTTGAGTTTAGGCAGAAAACGAGACTCGCTTGGCGACGTGGAGCTTTATATTTTTCTTGATCTCGATAGACATCGAAAACTACCGTACCTATTTTCCCAGGTAGTTCTGTTTGCGAACAGCGAAAATTTCCTCCTAGAAAATACTGTGGCTCCCACCAAAAAGATTCGCCTATTGCTGAGTTGCTCTATTTCCGTTTATCTCGCTACGTTCATGCGCCGCACCTCTGATATGCAGGGGCTGAGTTTCTCACTGGGTTTCTTTTTCAAGTTGGTTTGCGCACTTCTGGGTCCGGCAAGGAAAATAAAAATGCAATCGCCTTCACATGCTCAGCATGCTGACCCATTTGTTCATCAAATTTGGCGTTTCCGCGCAACAAACAAACCGTCTCACACAGAAAAAAACTGGCAGGTCATATTTGTAATGCAAAAATAAATAGACAAAAAAATTTGCTTTGCATATCCTAAATAGCATGCTATGAGGCCGCCCATGACAGATCTTTCTGTGTGTTTATTTTTGCATTACAGCCTCATCCTGCCAGCTTTTTTCTGTGGGATAAACCGCTTCTGCCGTGGCTGGCGCGGTTCCCAACTGCCCTCGGGCTGCTGCGACGTGTACGCCTGTTTTTGCGAAGCAGAGGACGCCGTCGCGGAGCTGAGCATGTGGCTGGCGCGCCGCACGGCCCAGGACTGAGAGAACGAGGATTGCTCCTTCAGTTCCTCACTGCTTGTCGGACGGAAGTACAGGTCCAAGTCCTGCGTCGCGCCTTTATCCTTGGTCAGCACGATCGCTAAATCCGAAGACAGCTCGTATTGCCGGAATTCACTGCTGTTGCACACGAGCGAAGCCGACTTCTCGATACTACGGTCTCCTGTGCCCTCCCGGAGACAGGAGGACTGCAGGCACTTGGAAAACGCAGCGCGGCCTGGATTTTTGATATAAGGGTTAAAGTAGTCCGGACCAGGATGAAAACGACACCGACAGAATTCCTTTTGCATAGCGAAAACCCCGAACGAATGAAAAGAAAAAACATGCACAAATCACATTCCCTAGATACTTACGCCTTGGCTGCTGGTTTTCCACGATCTGCGTTAGCAGAGCCTGGAAAGACTCTGGGTCGGACACCGTATTGGCGCGGATCGCTTTCACGTCCAAGCACAGTCGCGGGTACAAGCCGAGCCCGTGGTATTTGTCGCTGAAAATGTACAGCCGCTGGATGGCCAACACACACCAGTACCGCTGGATGTGCACGCCGCGCGGATTCACCTGCAGCAGCACCGTGAGCCACCCCTCGATGTCGGGCGCCACGGGCAACGAGCTCAGTGGGGCCTGGGGTAGCGGCCGCAACTGGATTTCCGAGGCTTTTATGTCTTCGTACACGTTCGTCAAAAACTGGTCCGACGCTTCCTCCGGCTGCAAAATCGTCCGGCTGTTCACGATAAACTGCGACACCGACATGCCGCTGAATCCCTTGTCGTTGCTCGACTTTGCCTTGTTGCCGATCATGCGGCTATCAAGTGTAAAAGTTTCTGGGTCTGCCAGGTTTGTCATGCATATTTTGCATAACCCATGATGCCTGTAATGCATGGCCGAGCATCACAGATTTTTAAATGACCCCCTGATGCGTATTCCGCATGAGAAATGCCCACTCCGCGTAGCACAAACTGAACTCCTCTTGCTAGTCCTTTTTTTACCTTCCAAAGACAGCATCACAAGTTGCAACCTTCCAGACCCAGATATTTTTACATTTGATAGCGGCCCATCACGTGCAGGTCCGTGTTCAGCATAATGATCGCGAAACCGAAGCCGTAGGGCGAGTCCGCGGACTTCCACTCGGGAAAGTTGTCCGTGGTGTTCGGCAGCGTGGGTGGCCGGTCGGGGTCCACGGGGAGCTTCGTCTGGCGGTAGTAACTCTCCGAAAAGTGGTTGATGATCCGGTCGATTATATCCTATGTAAAAACGTCCCCACCCCCATAGTTGTAATGCAAGGCTGCAATCACACAATGACGATTGGTAATGCGCATCAGCATGAGAGGCAATTCAAATCGTGTTTTGGAAAAATTTGTAATGCTCTAAACAGGATTAGTAGATGGCTTTGTGATGCGTCTGTGCTTGCTAAACAGCACTAGAACTATTCAGAGAGGAACTTGTCATGCTTGACTCCCAAAACTTCTTGATCTGTGTTGCGAGATGCCCACTTTGACTAGGGGGTTGGGACGTTTCTACACAGGATACATTACCTGTCCCTCCCCGCCCGGCTTGAAGCAGTCGAACAACTTGCGCATGGCCTGCACGATGGACAGCCCGCGGAAGTCGACCGCTTCCACGAACCCGACGTAGATGTCGAGGGAATCCTTCCGGGAGAAGAACCGCCCGAGGATGGAGGGGTCGATGCCGCCCTTCCCGGCTGCAGACATGTCCGCGATCCACTCACCAACCCGCCGCGGTTCCACGTCCGACTGCCGTAGGACCTTGTCCTTCAGGTACGCAATCCCGTCCTTCGGGTCCAGGTTGAAGGCCAGCACCTGTGGAGGTGCGGGTAGTTGGAATATGTCGTGATTTTTATTATGACATCTTGCTCATTGCAGAAGTGCTGCAGAAGCAGAAGTGGGTTTCTTTGTGCAGAACTAATATATAAAACCGCAGCTGCTATTTTTATCCAGCACAATAAATCGTCCAGCGAAGATGCAAGTAAAGCAAATTCTACCGCCTGCGCGGAGAACAGCTGATCGGGCGTCATAGCCGCCGCGTTGAACCGCCAGAGATACTGGAACATGTTTCGCTGCAGGTGCAGAATCGCGTGCTGGTCCGTGTCCACCAAGCCGCGCAACTTCCGGATGTTGTTCACAAACGTCGGCAACGTCGGGGGGTTCGCCCCGGTGCCGCTGCTAACCACGTCATCCTCGCGCGTCGCGGCCGCGGCGGCTTGCAGGACGTAGGAGCGCGTCCGCTCCAACGATTCTTCTTCTGCGTCGTGATCCTTTACCATTTTCGCCGTCGACGACACCGCGCCACCCGCGGTACTATTCGTGGCCAGCGCTGTGGCTGTGGGCTTGATCATAGATTCGGCTTCGGTCGACGCCATGCTCTCGTCGCGCTTCACCACCGCCGGAGGTCCACCTCCCGGCTTCATCTTTCCGACGCCGATCGGGGGCGTCGCGGGCGTCAAAGCGAGCTTCGTCGGGCTGTAGGGACTAGCCGCGCTGTCCAAAATCGTGGGCGGATCAACTACTACATCGGGATTCCCATCCTCCGCCGGGCTGTCGATAACTTGCGAGCTGTTTTTAGAATCCGAGTTCGTCACGCTGTCCTTCTTTACAGAAGTCGTCGCGTCTCGGTGCATATGCATTGCAAATATGTCTGGGTCTGGAACAACAAGGTTGGAGCTTGTAATGCTAACTTTCCATACCTAGGACATCTGTATTGCATAACCTACAACAGTCGCAGCCTCTTTTGTACATGCAAACACGCAGTTCCTGCTGCGGATTGCCTATGCGAAAGCGTTCTGGAAAGTTGTCTAGCTAGGTTGCATCCCGAACTGTTTCCATCATCCACATTTTAGCATCACAAGTCTCCAGGCCCAGACATATTTGCATTTGATAGTGCAAAGCGATCGACGCTTTTTCCAAGCTCTCGTCCCACTGCTCGGATAGAAGTTGGAGCTGGGTCGGGGGCAGAATGTGCACCACAATCGTTCTCCTTTCCCGGGTATCCTGAGTAAAAACGTCCCCACACCAGAGTCAAGATGGGAAATCTGCTAGACAAATCAATCAGCTTTGGTTGTTTCGCATTACAGATTTGTCCTCGTAGTGTAATCCTGTTTAAGTAGTTCAGCAGCATCACCGATCTAGCATATCATGCTGATTATAGCATCACAAATTTCACAATACGACTACAAAGCGCTTTTCATGGGGCTCCGCATGAAAAACTTTTTTGGCATGCAGATTTGCATGACAACTCTGGGGTGGGGACGTTTTTACTCAGAATACCGGGCGGAGGAGCTGTCGGTTGGATGATGTCCACTTTCCTTGTGCACCCTATCAACTGCAAAAATGTCTGGGTCTGGCAGGATCCAAACTTGTCATGCGAATTCTGGAAGAGGCAAGAGTCTGTCTTGCATGGTCAGCAAAATATAGCCGGTTTTTGCCTGGGCGAGGGAAAATTTCTCATGCGGGATAGGCATGAATAAGCCTCCCAGGAATTTCTCATGCTTTGCGTGTATTCCAGACCTCCGCGCAGATGCAAAAGCTGCATGACAAACATCTGATTTCTTCCCGACCCAGACATTTTTGCATTTGATACACACGGCTGGTTCCCAACTCCGCAAAGAAGCGCTGCCGCTCGGCGTTGCGCGTGTTGTTCTCGAAGTACTCGTTGCTGGCCCAGAAAACGAGGCTGTGCGACCCCGGGCTCTGCTCCGCTTCCTCCTCTTCGAGCAGGATCTCTGCTAAATCGACGGAGGCCTAGGAACAAAGAGATGTGGAACTTTGACTTTCACTTTCTTGAAGGCTGCTACAGACAAATTAATAGGGAGATGCCCTGTAATCACAGCCGCGGAATTTTTAATTTCCCTGCTTATATTAACTGTACTTCGATCCGAGTAGTGCGCGCGACTGCATTTGCCATCCGACTTCTTGTTCTGCAGACCTATTTCTGTAAAACAAAAATTTTCTCCCAAAAAAAATACATCCTCCGGGGACACTTCGGGGCTTTTCTGGTGCAGCGCCGCTCCCTGGGGCCGAACCACCAGGTCGTGCACATCGAATCTCGCGATGAAGGACTCGTCCAACTTGGCAACGCACACCTGCATGTGGCTGAGGTCCACCCAGATGCGCGACAAGATTTCCTTCCCACTCGTCTTCACAATGTTGCACACGATTCCCCGGTACAGGTTGTAGACCGTCTGGCCGTCCGCCAAAATCTCCGCCGGCGCCACCAGCGCCTTCTCCTGCGGAACCGTGTGCCGCGGCTCCATGGTTTGTTAGGAGTGTACTAGTTGTGTTAATACATGTATGAGAATTTTTATTGGGTGGCTTAATGCTCTACCGCAAGTAGACTTCTTGTGCAGAAGAAGTACTGGGATATTGTGCCAGGTCGTGGATAAATGCTGAGATGTTCTTCCGAGAGCCTAAACTGTACTACCGCCCTCGCCTCACCCAGAACAGAACTGTAAGAAGCGGCGCCCATGGAACTGCTCGCCGAAGGGGTGTGGCTGGGTTGTAGAGGTGACCACTGTAGTAAGAACGTTCTCTGTGACTGCAAGAACTTCTCGGAAACTCACATCACAACCGATTTCCAAACCGCCGGCACAAGCAGACACGCACCATTGACCAGGAGATTCACAGAAATAAGTAAGTATGCAACATAAACCGAGCCTCAGACTGCCCGGAGTAAGTGGGAGAAGAAAACAAGCTACACCTGGTCGTGAAGTAGCAAGGCTCGGAATTACGTGGATTTATTTTTCAAGCACCAACTCATACTGATGAAACATGTTCATCGGAACGTACTGGTACACAAAGAAGATAGGGCAAAGAACAATGGTGACAAAAGCAGGCCTCTCACTTTATTTCTGCCGATGACAGCAAGACTTGATGTCGGATTAATTTTTTTTCTTCCATTACGGAATTTTTCGCCCTTGAGCGGAGGTGTGGCATTTTTGCAGAAAGAAAACTTCGGCAGGAAAGTTTGCTTTTGATATTTGACTTGCTGAGCGACCACTTCATCTGACAAAGAGTCAATTCTGTTTTAATTATAGCCCTGACAGGAGCAGTCAGTTCTGTTTTAATAATGGCGCAACCCAATTTTTATCCAAAGCTGCGTCCAGTTTCCGCAAGAAACACAGCTCTGTTTCAGGATCGAGCTCGTCATGCACAGCTTGTTTGTAAATGAAGGAGCCGGAATCGTTCAAAATCTCTTCCTTCAACCACCTTTGGCACCACAACAGTAGTTCGTTTTTTTGTTGTTTTCCTGCTTCATCTCCCCTGCGCCTTCCTTCGAAAATCGAACTGCCTATCACCGTTCGCAACCCCCCTATCAACGCTGCCATACGCAGTTTGAAAAGATAAACACTGCCGCAACACAGCTGCTCTTCTGCGAGCAACCGCAGCGCTTCTAGCGCCAGTTTGCGAATGTGCTCCCCGGGAATGTTGACATTTCGGAACAGAAACGCCATGCCCTCTTTTCCTACGAGACCTTCCGCGGGAATCGGCAGAAACGCATCCTTCGTGGCAGAAGGGCGGTAGCGAAGAAGCCACCGCCTCGCGGGGTTGTATTTTTGCTCGTTGTGCCCTTGTGACACTATTGCTGCTGCATCCGTGGTGCCCGGGCTCGTCCTCGGAGGCGATTTATTTTCATCTTTCAGGACATTGTCGAAAATAATATCCTGAAGTTCTTGAAGCAAAGCACGCCAAGCGGGATCAAGATCGTGAAGATCTTCTACGTCTTCAGCCACGTCCTGCTCTTCTTTTTGATGTCCTTCGATTTCCATACTGCTTGTTTTATCGCTGTCAACAGCAAAACCCGGCACGGCCCTTCCACAACTCCCGAGCTCGAGCACGTCGAGAATCCTGCGACACCGGGCGCGCCGTTGGTCGGAGGCAGCTCGAAACACCGCGTCATTCGCACACCTGGCGCAGCAAGGGCACAAACAGGTAAAGCGGTAGGTTGTTTCCAACACGCGCTGCCGTGTAGAAAACGACGCAAAGGGGTCGACATACGAGGTGAGTAACTCCTCGTTTTTCCCAATGTGCCGGAGCGCGGTGACCCGGGCTACTACTTCTAGCGAAGTAGTATTTCCTGTAATGGTACTAGCGTCAGAATCTCCACTTTGTCGTTCTTTTCTATCATCCACGAGCAATTCCACATTCGGACAGCAGCTGTGGTTCAGGCGGGCGATGCGGAGAAAGAGCCCGGGTTCGTAGCTGTTGGTGAGAGCGATGGTGAACAAATGTTTCTCTTCCCGCTGAAACTCCCCCTTGTAGGCGTCGGCGAGCTGCAGCACCGCGGTTTTCTGCTTTTGTGAGAGATGGGCAGCTGCAACGTCGGACAGAAACGCGTCGCGTTGGTCTCGGTACTCCTCGGCAGTGGCGGGGTCGCGGTTGTTGTTTGCAGTCGGGTTGACTACCAGAAAGTCGGAGGGGACCAGGCAAGGCCGTCGTGTATGGAAGTAGAAACGTTATTCGTCGGCAGGGCAGTTCTGTCGGTGTAAAAGAAGGGCGCATTTTCTTCTCACATTGCAAAGTGCTTTGTTCAATCATAATGGTGTACTGAAAGTACATACAAGCTCGTTTGTGTTTTTGCGTTAGCGATACAGCTCCAGAAAACGTCATGATTAGAGTACACCCGGTATTCTCCTCTGCTCCTGTCGACCCACGTTTCGCTTCATACTCCTGTATGATCTCCTGGCCAGATGCAATAGCCTGCGTGGCCACACAGCCGACGCCGTCCGGAGGTAGCACTAGTTTCTCTTCGTACATTTTACCTTCGGGATTTAAGTAGCTACAACATTAGTAATTCACAAAGCACAAACGGCGCTTTGCTGCTTCGCGTGCTAGGGCCGCGTGATTAGAGTATTCATTGCCGCCTTAGGTCGTAACACACTGTGCTTGATAGATCGCAACTACTGCACAATAGAACAGCGGTAACATGTACGATTGCGAAGAAGGCCTGGACGGGACGGAAATCAAATCGCGCACTGTCAGTGGCAAACTATGATCTCAGTTCTTAGGTCCGACCATGCGGCCGGAACAACGATTTTCGAGTGGGGGATTATTCGCAAGGATTTCAGTGCATTTCGTCTTCCGCTCGACCTCCGGAGTCACGTCGCATTTTCTCCGCATGATTCGCAGTTTGTAAAATTTTTCCGAAAAAGAAAACGAAAAGCTGGATCGACGTTGGTCTGCTCCACAATCAGTTTCCGCGTCAACAGATTTCAGATCAGCAGTGCGGTCATCATCATTGCAACTCGTGCCGAGCGTCGGACCACGAAAACAACGGAAACGGCTTGGAAAAACACAATAGCGTGCAGAAATGAACACGAGCATGTTGATCACCGCGTCCGCGTGCCTTACATTACAATGCCTTCTTCGAAACGGGCGCACAAGGATTCTCCTCGCGTTGGTTTAAAAAAATGAAACTGAAACTCGGATAGAGATTGCTCCGAAGCAAAATGAAAATCCATTGCCAGTACTTGGCAAATATCGTCGTCAAGTGGCATATCGAGTCTTTCTTCCTTCCGCACTACGGGGATCAGGCGAACTGAAAAGCAGTCTGCGCTCGTATTTTTCCTAAACCTTTGCCGTTTCGAAACCCCATCGAGTCCCCCCACTGCTTACTTCGCCAAGTGAAACACAAAGCCGAAGACTGCCCGCCGCCCCTTTGTGATTTTGGTCATGCCGTGCGTGACCTTAATCGGGTCGAAGACCAGCACATCCCCCATCTGCAGTTCGTGGGTGGTGCACACCCCCTTGGCAGTTTTGGTGAAGAACTGGCCCCCCTCGAAATCGTCCTTCGGACTGGAGAGCAGCGCCAACACCTGGAACGGAAACGCAATGCTGCCGAAAAGGTATCAAATGCAAAAATGTCTGGGTCTGGAAAGTTGGAACTTCTGATGCTAACTTTGAACTCTAAAAAAATCTGTATTGCATGACCTGCAAGAGGAGCCACATTTGTGCTACGCGAGGAGGGCATTTGTCATGCGGAAATGGCATCAGGAAGCTTTCCAAAAATCTGTGATGCTGGGTCATGCATTACAAGCACCATGGGTCAGGCCAGACAAGCATGACAAGCCTTCCTTTCTTCCAGACCCAGACATTTTTGCACTTGATAAAAGGTCTCGGTGCGCGAAGTTGACGCCCCCCGCCCGGTAGTACAAAATCAGCGAGCTCGGCCGCGCCTGCCCCTTTTTTTCGCAAAGCCGGTGGAATTTCTTCAAGGGGGATAGAGCCGTAGTAGACGAAGCGCTTGTTGTGCCTGCGTGTTGTTTTTTCATCCCCGCACAAGTACTAGAATTGCCCGCGAGCTGCTTCAGTTCGGTGCTAGAACCACTCGACAGCCTCGCTGCGAAGGGCAGCAGGGTCTCAAACAAACGCTCGCGGAAGAGGCTCAAGGAGCTGCCTACGTAGTTGTGTTTCGCGTCTTTGACAAATGCGGACTCCGCCAAGTAGTGGTAAACGCCCTTGCCAAAGTTGTGCTTCTCGAGGCGCACGGTTCGGTGGTGATAAACATCCTCGGCGGCCCAATCGAGAATGGCACCGACTTCCTCTGCGCTGAAAACATTTCCCACCCGAATGGGCTCCCAGTCCGAAGAGGAAGAAGATGATACTGCGCTGGTGGAAGACAGTGCCCTATGTGTACTACTACCCTGCGGCGCAGGAGCTCCCGCTTTGACACTGCTTTTCGTCGTCGCAAAAATCCCTTCGCGTCCGAGTTTTTCCGCGATGGTCGTGGCAATTTTGTCCACGCGCATTTCCCAATCGTTGAACAGGGAAGAAAACGCGGAAGATTTACTTCTTGAACTACCGGATAAAGTAGTGATAGAGCTACTTCTGCCTTTCAGTGCCTTCAAGTCCTTGGCCCGCAGCGTCAGCTGGTCGTCCGGGGCCAACGGCTTCTCCACCCACTCTTTATTGACATCCACCTTCTCCGCCTGCAACAGCTGCGCCTGGACGGTGGCGCGGCTGCTCCCCTTCTGCAAGTACCCGCGCAGGGCCTTCCCCGTCTTGGGCTTGTACACGACCCGCCACCAAGGAATATTCCGCGCGGTGGACACAATACTGTGCGCGACGCTGCTCGCCCGCATCATGCCACCCTGTCCCTGGCGCTCGGCGGCCACGGCCAACTCCTGAAAGGACCAAACTTCCCCCTTGGGAATCTCCTTCATCGCACGCACGAACCGATCGTCGGAAACGACTTTTGCGGCCGCGCCGGGTTTTGTTTGCTCGCTAGTTCTGGTTTTGGGAGCGCATTGTGCTTTCGCGACTTGTTTAGTTGGGGCGGTCTGCTTCATCTTCGCAGCCGGAGGTCTTTTTTTTCCGGAAGGTGGATTGCACGCAGCTTTTTTGCTGCGCGTCTTGTCCATCGCGCGGCGCCCCATTTTTTTCATCAGATCTTGCTCTTGTGTAAAGTCTTAATGTGCGACCAAGAGTAAAAATTCCTCGAAAAGGAGGTAATGCTCGCGCTACACCCGATGAAGCGTGGCGTTATTCGTATTCGTCAACGAACTACTTCGTGTCGATCTCCGAAGAACTGATCAAGCTGCGTTTTTTCCAGTGGGATAAGAATATTACGTGACCACGGGAACGAGTCCTGGTTTCCGAATATGTAATACGGAGTTCATGACAGGCGTATTTACAGTATACATGAATTCTTTCAATGGTCGATATGAAGTGAAACTCTGAGCCAGCGGCTACCTATGGCCAGCGCTACAAGAGGGAACCCCTGCGCCTGCCGCGTATGTGGATCTGAATACGCGACCGAAAAAACCGATTTTTCCGATTTATAATTTTTCTCATCTGGAAAAAAACAAAATGCCTCCTGCGCTGCCAGTTTGCTAATGCCGTACGAGCAGTCAGCTCTTTTAGCTTGATTGCGTGAAACATAGCGGCCCGCGGCAGCCGTTTCGGGCCCAAGGGCCCGCGTGGTATGCTTGCAGCGCTCAACTAACACAATCGCGATTCGCTGGCCCACCGGCAGACACGATCGCGATTCGTGGGACCACGGGCGGACGCAATTGCGATCCACGAGGCCTCGCATGAAAAGAATCGCGGTCATCGGGGGCCTCGGGCTTATATAATCGCGACGCGGGGGCCGTAGCAGGAAAAGCTTGCGACTGTCGCCCATCCAGGCAGCCCAGGCTGGGGCAAATCGTCCCTCGAAGCGGACTAAGGGACCCAAAGCAGGTCCGGGCCAACGCGTGCGGCCCTTTCCAGTGGGTTCCTGTAGTGAGCTTCTTTAGGTGATGTGAGTTTTTCCTAATTTTTGCCACGGAAGTCTAACTGGATTGCCTTGCAATAAGAGGCTTTTCCACAATCAATGAAAAGCGTATACTATTAGCCCATTTGAGTTCCACCATATGTGGACATTGCCTATCCTCAGTATTTTTTTCACAGAAAAACTTTTGTAGATTTTTTCAAATTTTTTTGCCCTTGAAAAATCTGAGCAATTGCAAGCAGCTGACTCTTATAAAATCTGAGAAAATATCAAAAAAAACATTATATATTGTCCTTTATCCTTTATGGAACATCTTATATTGAATACTTTTCATACTTTGCACAAAGGCACTTTTTTAATTTTCTATCTTGGTCCGGATTTTCTTGTGTTTTGACCAGGTCAGTTTGCTCTTTTATTAGTATAATGCACATTATGCGCATTGTGTTAGAGTGTGTACATTATAGACTTTTACGACTAAAATTATCAGGAAGCTTTTGAATGTTGCAGCCTTCAAATTTTTTTCAATTTTTTTTAGTGTCTTGAATTTCTCCCAATTTCAATGCGTGTTTTCTTAATTAATGCAATAAAGTATAAAATTAGCAATCGAAGTCATCTTTTTCACCTTATTCCAAGTCAATTTTTAAAATGTTTGATGATTTTTTTAAAAATTGAAAAATTTCATTTTTTCAGATTTTCAGACGGTATCACATATACGGGATATGTGGTGTTCCTAAGAATATAAGGCGAGCAATTTGACAAGTATAAGGGAAATAAATCCCACACAACGCAAATACTTACACTTCAGTGGGGTTTTTTTGTCCACGTAAGAAAAAAATACTTTTTGAGATTTTGCAATAACGCTAAAACTTTGCGAGTTTTAAGAGGATCCATCCTTATAGTTAAGGTAGAAAGTAATGTAAGCACTGATCTCGTTTCTTTATGTCCTGTCCATTGGCGGCCATTTGCAACTTTTTTTGTTTTTCTGACCCTCATAATACTCCGACAGATCTTTCTATGTGCACATCTAGGGAAGATGCATTCCATTTATTCTCCTTCTGTATGTGGTGTTTGTTCTTACTCTCTTTCTGGCTTTGCTGATTGGTATGCACGTCTCCTGGTCCCATGAGAATCGCCGAGCGCGCGACCGGCTGCCGCACCGAGCAGGCAGCAACGTTTTATTCTGTGCGACGCGGCTAGTAGAATGGCACACCGTCTGGCCCTGATGAGAAGCAGCGCCCGGAAAGCGGGGCGAAGCGCAGTCGACCATCGACTGAAGCGAGAAAGCCCAAAAAGCGGCACCAAAAGCCGCACGCGGGGGGGTTGGCACCAAAACACGAAAGAGATCCAAGAAAAGGAACCCCCAATGAGCTTCAACCGAAGGCCGACCAAGCGTCGAACCGCTCTCCAGAGCTGCAAGAGTGTGTGCCGCGGGAGAACAGCGCAAGCGCCACTCCCGGCACACCTACGGCGTGCTCAATCTACGAACCTACGCCAACAAGTACTCGCGCCCGCACACAGCGCGAAACGCAGGTGACGTCCACACGTCAGAAAATGGTGTAGCAATAAAGAGCAACAGAGGCTGAAACCAGGGACAAAGAGTCGCAGCGCAGCGCTTCCCTGAAATGAAAAGCGCAACACCCTGCGCTTAAAACTACTGACGCATGTGGGGCAACTGTGAGCACCTGCCCAACATGCTGAGGAACTGTGCACAGACAGTCCAGCCCCAACACCCTAATAAGAGCCAATCCAGAGCATGACTACACGACGCCTCTGCGGGTAGAGTGACAGCGCCCTCGCGGCGAAGATCCGCTGAGAGGTCATGGTAGACCGGCCAGTATGTGCATCCCAAAAACGCCAGCAACTACCCAGCTGACACGGCTCGCGCATCCTGTCCTAATGATGTAAACAAGCGAGACTACTTGCACCAGTTGTAGCAACTGCTGTCTCCCGGGGCGCGCATCCTGCGGTGACTCCGGGGGAATCTTTAGTGCGCCCCGCAAGAAATGTGGGCGAACAACAGAAAACTGAAACAGCGCAAAAAACCCAAGCCGCAAATGAAACTGCAGCCAAGAGAAATCCAGGACAGGTCCTGATCACAGAAGTGCTACGGGACAAAAATATTGCAGCAACCGTGCGCAAGGGTGGGAGGGGTGGGAGAGAAAAACCACGCAGCAACGATGCTGCGAAGGTAAATCTCCCTGCTGCCCTTTTCTGGAGGTGTAGCTGCACTTGCAGCACCCTCCATCAACACAAAATGGCCCAGAAAGGGCAGAATAGTACAGAACTAAGGCCAGGCACCAGCCTGGCAGCACCACCAGGGTGGCCCGTTTGGGCCTATCTCCACGCCCGTCGCCAGAATAAAACGGCGGGCTCGTCCCTCGCCGCTCTAGGAGATCATCACGGCGCGATCGCTACGAGATCGCGGCACCACGACGGGAGCGTCCGCTCCACTCTGCTACACTTTTGCCACTCTGCTTCTGATATCCACGTGATGATCTTGGACAACGGCTCGTGCGCTGACAGCGAAGAAGCGAGCCGCGATACGCATGCATCGGCTACGCGAGAGACTGCACACACCATCACACTGTCAGCTGCGATTATCACAAAAAGCCATAAAAAAAAAAAACACGATCTACACACAATCTCCATCCGATGAATCTACACCCAGATCTGCACAGCTGTCATCTTTCTTGGAACTAGTCACCATGATTTCTGCGAGCTTAGTCACACCTTCAGACACCTGCCCGAGCAGTAATTTCCTCAAATACTCCTTCATGCCAAAGCCTTCAACTTCTTCACAAAATAAATTTGGCATAAACTTCTTCAGCACCTGCATCTTTTCCGATCGCGTCGGATAATCCGCCAGATTGAAGTCGGAGGGAGCGCGGGTGTTCCACGGCATCATATTCCTTTCCACCTCGCCACCACAGACCAAAATTCCGCTGCCAACCGGTTGTAGATCCACTGCTGTTCCTTCCGGCATTTCCCCTGCTGTAACAAACATTCCTGCGCGCATTTGTTATCGATACCATGGTCAAACCGCTTCCCTGAAAGGGATTTTGCATAGAACTGGAGCGCCAAGGGCGCTGTCAACGTCTCCAGCACGTTGATAGGAGACAGCTTGTAGTCCGGATGCAACATGTCCGCTGTGACGCTCTCCCAAACGCACCGAAATTTATTTCCTTCTACTATTACTGCCGCCAGTACGCCGTGTTTGTTACTCCACTGTGCGTCAGTGTACAGCAACGCGCTGCACACTGACGCATCTTCGAATCCAACCGCGCGTTTCAACGGTAAGGTCATCACATACTTCGCGGCGTGCAGTGCTGCGGCAACCGCGTTTGTGATCTGCAGTTCTTCCCGGGACAAATGCACTCTTATCGGCCGCAAGACCGGGCTTAAGGCCCGGTCTGCTACTGCAGCAAGGACGTAGGTTAACCTGCCGAGGAGTTCATTGCCGTCCGCTGCGTCTAACACTCCTTCTTTCAACGCCTTTTCACATGCCCCGACTATCTGCTGCTTCTTCTGCTCCGTGACCGCTACTGTTGGCGCCGCCTCTGCCACGTCAAACAGCAAGCCCAGCACCTCCAACACCTGTCCCACCTTGACCTTGTCATGCATGGCCGGAAGGCCAAGCATGACAAGCAGCTCCAACATCATGTCCCGCACCAACTCCCCAAGTCCCAGCGGGACAAAGTTGGGGAAGTCGTCCACGTAGTCGTCGCTGTTCAACCCGTAGTGGTGCCGCAGGACCGACCTGATCAGCTTCCCCGGCCGGCACCACCCGGTAACACTGTGGCGCGACCCGAATATCGCCGACTTGGCCAGAAAATAGTCGTGCCGCGACGTTTCTGGATTCCACACAAGCACCGTGCTAAACTTCTGGTGGTCCGGCCGGATCATGAGGCTATTGTAACACTTGGCGATATCAAGCAACACAATTTCAATTTTATTGAGAATTGTGTTACAAGACCTCCGCTTCTTCCGGTTATGTCCCGCTCCTCCACAATCTGCAAACACGGGCTTCTCGCTGTACTCCGGCACCTTCACACCATCTTTCAACACACTGGAGTCGAGCTCGTTCTTACCTTCCTTGACGTACGTCAAGAACGCCTTCTCGTACTTCCTCTCGTCGGCTCTGCACCGCTTCAAAACTGCTTTGCTGTGTCGCGGCACTCCTTTTCCAACGCAGGAGGGGTCCGCCGCCACCGCGGCGTTGGTTAAAATGTCCAGCGCGCCGGGAATAGGTACCCGCTTACTTAAAGGCGAACATCTACTCGCTGCCGCCGCCGGGTCTATCAGCCGGACTCTCCGCGTCTGGTGGCGCGGAAAGCGGCGATAGCCATAAAACGCCTTCTCCTGC